CACTGCAAGCTGCCACATTGAACGTCACGCCGCCAATGTCTTTCTACTGCGGGTGTCGAATGCGGTTAATTCCAAGAAAGTGGCGCAGGGGTCTTCTTGGAATTCTACCTAAACAAATATCGCACGGACTGTACCAATTAAGTGGGATAGTCGCTCATGCTATTAGGGACAGATAAATTCATTTATTTGAGTAAAATATAACTTGATCGAACGGATTTTGTCCTTAATAGTAGGGCAAATATTTTAATTAGGTTAATGTTTTTTGTTAGCATTTATGACGAAGTTTTTTAAAATTGTATTCTTTACTGAAAAAAAAAATTTTTTTGTCTATAATTGTGTAGCGATTCAGCAGAGACCTTTAATAAAATGGCTTATTAAAAAGGACCTGTGTAGACAAATTTTTAATTTGCTTTATTACTGCAAAACATTTCATAACACCTTTAAAAGGTTGGCGACAACAAAAGCGAAATGAAAAATAGTCCCTCACGCAAAAAAGTCACAACAACTAATCGCAAACTACGCAGAAAGCTGTCTATTAATATCAGTCATCACAAAAAAGCGTTAGCGCCCTGCCCCGCCGGAGTCAAGCCCTTTGAAACGTCGACCTTCGCCTTTCAGGGCCTTAATAGAATTTCCACACAATAAATTATCTTCGAGCCATCATATTAAACTTTTTCGGGCCGAGCCAAGTTCCTCCGACATAAATCGACTCGGAACAACTTTCCATTTTCGACCGGCAAATGAGGCTTCTCGCCGTGGATGGAGCGGTGCCAGGAACCCGCGTGCCCCCAGGACAGTTATGTCACACTTCACGCTACATAAAATTCTGACACCGACGCGAAATGCGATCGCATGCGGGTTCGCGAGAGCGCTCCGGCGTGATCCAGAGGAGAACAGTTTTTTCCGGCAATTCCGGTGGACATCTCGCGACACCGTGGTGGTGATTTTTGGACGGTTCTAATATGTTTGTGTACGGTCCTCAGGGCCACTATTCCTCCTCGGAGAATGACAGTGAAGAGGAGGATCTCGATCCCGAGGCACTGCTTATCGTAATTAATATTTTGTGTTAATTAACACAGGTTTTGTATGTAGGCGTGGTAACAACATTTTTGCCATCGTTTTGGTATTCAAAAGTTCAGTGAAAATTGAAGTGCCATAATAAAAACATTATTAACACTGTCATTTATTTCCAAAAGCTTTAGTAATATATGCGCTTTTTATGAATTTGCAATAATATGTGTTCAAATAAAGTAGTTGGTTCTTGGAGTATCAACCCACTAATCTAAGTACTAGAGACTGCAACTTAATTAGAAGAATATCACAATGAAAACATTTCATTGTAATTTTACTTGAAGTAATTTCGAAAAATACTTATAACTAGTATAATTTTCAATTTTATTGTAAAGTATAGCTTTGGTACACTTTTTTTATATATTTCAGGTGTGACAATGTTTTTTGTAAATTTTCAATGCATTATTAGACCAGGGCGGATCTGTTTTGAGGTGGATGTGAGAGGGGGCAAGCAAATTTTGTCTGGATTACCTTCAGTACTACTCATATAATAAAAGTGTAGATCCCTAGATCTGGGCGAGGTCCGGAACATTTTCAAAATTGCAAAAATTTTGAAAAAATTTAAAAAAATACCTATTTTATTATTTATATTTTACTTATATCTTGGAATCTATGCATTTTGGAAAAATATTGAAGCGGAAAAAAGTTTTAGAATTGAATTTTGCACAATATACTGTAAGTTAAAAATGTTTAAATTTATTACTGATGTTGCAAAATAGCAATTGATGAAAAAAGGCAAAATAATCAAGCTTTTTGGATAATTTTTTAAATTATTTTAATTGCTCCGAGGGCATTCTAATTTTGGTAAAAAAAACTTTAGAGTATAATAAAACAACACAGCAAATTTCATTAAAATTAGTTCGATAGTTTTCGCAAAGTAAATTTGGAAAAAAAATTTAGAATTTTCAAAATGTTGCACAGCCTCAAATAAAGCATCTAGATACTTTAATTTTTTTTCACATAGAAAAGACCGCCCAACCTTTCAAATGGTTTCTCAAAAATTGAAATCGGTTGATTAGGACGGTCACAGTAAATTTTTAAAGTTAACACTTTTTTTTTATTTTTAAACAATTATATTACATTTATAAATTTGCAACTGTTTTCTTCAAAAATTATCATTTTAAATTACTATTTTTTCTTAATTTTATTTGTATTTGACAAAAAAAAATTAATTTCCAAATAAAGATTTTTTTTAAATTTGTTTAAACAAAAATTAGTTAAATAATTGTATTAATTATAACTAAATACATTCATATTCAGAGTGTTGAAATATATACGTAAACAAATTTTTTCATTGAAAAAATGTAATAGCATAGGGTAAAATATACAGTATATTTAATGCATAAATAATAAACTTTGTTTACAACAAAATATGTACAAATTAGACTGTTGGCTTTACGATATTCGAATTCCTTGGCTCGTGAGACATTGGATTAAAAAAAAGATCGAAATTGGTCCATTAGAAGCCGAAATAATGCAATTTTTTTCGTACCTTCGCATTTTGAACTTCCGAATTCAGTTTCGGAGCGAAAGCCCCCTCCCCCACATTTCGTGTTTTGAGTCACTTTTCGCGCATGCGAGCGACAGCTTTTCCGCTGATTTATCTATGCTGCCGATAACTTATGGATATAAAAATTTTTTCCAGCTCAGAACTCGGAAAAACGAAGCCACTGGAGCAAAGATTATTGCTAAATTGTTTATAAATTAACGGTAAATGCCGATAAACTTTTACCGCTTATATCTCGAAAATCAATAAACGGAATTTAACTTTTTTAAAAAAAAAGAAGTCTTTCCGAGTACTTTAAAATTATAATTTTTGAAAAAAAACTAAATTGCAAATTGATAAATGTAATCCAATTGTTTAAAAATAAAAAAGAGTGTTAACTTTAAAAATTATCTCTGGTTGTCCTAATCAACCGATTTCGATTTTTCAAAAATCATTTGAAAGGCTGAGAAGTCTTTTCTATGTGAAAAAATTTTCAAGTATCTAGATGCAATATTTTGAAAATTTGAAAATTTTTTTCAAATTTTTTTTCAAAAAATTATTTTGCGAAAACTATTGAACCGATTTTAATGAAATTTTTGGTTTGTTGTTTTATTATACTCTAAAGTTTTTTTTTACCAAAATTAGAATACCCTCGGAGAGACATTATTTTGCCTTTTTTTCATTTTACAACATCGGTAATAAATTTAAACATTTTTAACTTACAGTATATTGTACAAAATTCAATTTTAAAACTTTTCCTCTTCAATATTCTTCCAAAATGCATAAGATATAAGTAAAAAACAGATAAAATTGGTATTTTTATACATTTTGTAATCATATTTGCAATTTTGAAAATGTTCCGGACCTCGTCCAGATCTAGGGAACTACACTTTTATTATGCGAGTCGTACTGAAGATATTCCAACAAAACTTAGCTTGCCCCCTCTTACATCCAGTGGGATATTCCGACAGATCCGCCCTGGTCACACCACACAATACTTTTTAATAATAAATAAGTTTATTTTACAACGTTTCTATAATAAAGTGGGTAATAAATTTTATAATGCACAAAATATATAATACAGACAAGCTGAAAACGGTGAAAAATGCACCTGCACATAAATCAGTATAAAACAAGGAAACACACAATAGTAAAATAAACAGCAGATGAGTTCAACACGATGAAAGAACACCTGTTCGTGAACCCAGATACAATAATAAAATAATATCTATTCTTAAAAGAATACTAAAAGTAATATAACCTATAAAGACATATATATATATATATACAGCGTTTGCATGATCAGCAAACAAATTATCCCGTAGCTACAGCGATGAAATTTTTTTAAGAATTAAGAATTTAAGAAAACGGGTCTTAAAACAAAATTCTACAGAAGACAATTACTGTATCAAATTTATTTGTAAGTAACAAGAACAAAAAGTAGAAATGTGATTTTTATTTCACAGCTTCTTATTATTTGACTTGCTTTTAGAAATTTCAGTATTTGAAGTGTATTGATCTAATAAAAGGTATACCTACTAGCCGAAATGACTTACAATTAGATTACATGACATATAATATACATATTTAAATAAATTTCCGTTAAAATGTAGAGGAAATGAATTATTTCTAACCTAAAAAAATTCTTTTTAAACTCAGTACAATCACTTTTAATCAACTTTTGATATTTTAGTAAAATAATGTAAATATTTAGATATAATTAAGACTTATAATAATATAAAAATTTAGCTTGAACTGCTTTTTTAAATTGCTTATGGAAAGATACTTTAATAAGTGCAAGTTCTCAGCTTGATTTACCTAGCGCTAAATATAATTAAAATAAATTGTCTTGTGAATTTAAAGAGAAGTCATATTTTAGTTTTTAAAAAGAACTGCTATTGTTGCAATGACACCTGTATTTTTTTCTGTAAAATCTATTTTCTCGCCTTAAAGGTGTACCTTATTACTGCAATTTAGAAAGAATGTTTAAAAAATAACATCTGTACCTTTCTTTCTCGTTTAGGCAAATCTAAATGTATATAAAACTCACACCTTGTCTGATTCATTTGGCACAACGGGTTATTAACCATAAAAAATAAAAAAGTAATACAAAATCTCACAAGTAAATACTTAACGCAGAATACTATTAATAAAACTAACCTAATTTTGACTTCTTCACATTTTTACATCATATACATACATTTTTTAATTTTTTGATTAACGATCGATGATGATGTCAAATATTTTAAAATAGTTTCACTTTAACTACGACAAACCATGTGAAATCTTCAGCCATCTAAACCTGCACCTTTCAATCTTAATTATTACACTTCAATTAGTTCCTATTTCACCAACAATGTAAGACTTGTCAGGAACTGGAGTTGATAATTGAGTAGTTGCGTGCTTATTAATGTCATAATTTTTTTATTGTCCTTTTCAGCGCCGTCGGGAAGAATGCGAACGCAAGGCGAGGAGGGGGGAGATGGACCCTCGGTTGGAGTTCACTTTCCAACTTCTCATAGATGCTACCGGTCTGCCTAGGCACGAGATCATGGACCATGTGTTTGAAGGAGATATGGTAGGCCACTTTAATTTTAGTAGAAAATATTTTTTCAGTTTCATTCAAGCCAGACATTGAAGTCCGCCAAAGCAAGTATTGTTCAGATTTCATTCATTTTATAAATATTTAGTGCCGTTTTGGGTATTCAATAATTTATACATTTTACCGGCGCCTTCGCCAAAACTTGTTCAAATGTTATTTAATTATTAGAAGTAAGACATTTCTTACTACAGGGTGTTCCCACTTTTAGGTGTACAAGCGATTGAAATAATAAATAAAAAGCAAATTTAGCTCAAATATATACTTTAAATAGGAGCTTATTTGTAAAATATAACTTGGTCAGTATTGAAAATTTTAAGATTGCTACTATCTATTTTTTTAAGTGCGTTTGAGGAAAATATGGTCTTGTTGATAAAAAAATATTTGAATTTCATTTGTTTTTTAACATATATTGGCATATGAAAATAAAACTAAAGTACAGTATGTACAAGATTTTTTGAAATATCATACAATCAAATTAAAAAATATAATAATTATTTTTTTAAATGAGATATCGTTTCAAAAATCGATGGTTACGAGACTTTCTTAAAAATAAAATAATATCTCGGAAATAGAAAACTAATTTAGTGCAGAAAAAGCATAAAAAATTAATTAAACACCCCAATATCGGTTTTCCCCATTCAACAGCTCGACGAAATAAACCAAATCTTCCTACCCAACATGAAGACTAAGCTGATGTGGTTCTATCAAGACGTGGAGGACACCGAATCCCAGGCTCAGCAGGAGGCCAACAAAGCAAGCACTAGTCGACAACTGCAACCTAGCACCAGTAGAATCAATCTAATCAACCAGCAGATCGCACCCACTTATAAAAAAAAGTTGTTTCTAACCGATGGCACCACAGTACCGCTAACAGGGATTTGTATATACATTTTTAGGACCAACACCACCAAGCAGCTGCCTGAGGAAGGGTTCCAAAAGGTAAGTATGATTGGAGATGAAGGTAGATGTTTTCCATGTTTCCAATTTCTTCAGGATCTGTATTGTGGCATAATAGACAACCAAAAAATCGGTTTGGTAACAACTATAGAGAGGATCATAGAACATGTCTTCATGGAAGCTTTGGCACACCCAAGTCCCGACTGTGACGATGACGCTGCGAACTGTCCCATGGTCAAAAATCAACTGCTGCCGAGTCTGAGGTCCTTCTGCAGCGTCTTGAAGGGTAGGAAATTTACCATTTAGAAATATTTATTAACATGGTTCGTTTTCAGTATGTGAAGAAGTATGTGGGGAAAAAAACCTCTTCGATGACGGTCAGTACATCACCGGTAACAGTACTCCAGACGAAGTTAAGGAAATGGCAAAGCATCCAGAAAAAGTGGAATTCATGGAGGGCAGAGTGAAATCGTGGATCAAGAAGTTGGACGAGATTCTTAAGGAAAGCGAACAAATTAGAAAGGAGAACGATTCTTCAGGTGAAGTGAAATTCCAAAAATAAACTCTTTTGATTTTTATGTAATTTTAGGACCTCAAGACGAGCTCGAGTACTGGAAGAAAAGAGGAGCCAGGTTTTCCCAGATCGTCAACCAGGTCAATACCAGTGAGGTGAAGAACACCATTCTGTGCATCAAGTTGGCACATTCGAAAATCTTCAAGGAATGGTCCGACACCGACAAGAAAATAACCTTCTGCTACAATGAAGCCAAGGACAACGCTAAGTATATTCAAGCTTTGGAAACTAAATGCCACGCCTTATACTTGGACGATCCTGTACGGTTCATTAATTCTACTTGAGTTACGATTTTTTTTGCTTCTTTTAAAAATGTGTTATTTTATTTTAGGTTGAAATGAAGAAATCGATTCTAGGACTTCTTCAAACTGTTCGCTTAATACACAGTGTTTCACAATTCTATAACACTTCTGAACGCACGTCTGCTTTAATGGTGAAGGTAATGACAATACGTCAGCGCTATTTTTATAATAGTAATCTACTTCAAGACAATACTGCACTTGGTGGTAATAATTCACAAAAGAACCTCTTCTAGATTACCAACCAGATGATCGAAACATGCAAGGACTACATAACATGCAGAGGAAACGAAAGCATTTGGTCTCAGGACAGAGAGCACATAAAAGAAAAGTTAACCCAGTGCATCGTTTTGAATAAAGTGTACAGAAAAACTTACATCGCCGTAAAAAACCAACCATTTGTTGCTGGCGAACAGCCCTTCAATTTTTCCGAGAACTACGTTTTTGGAAAGTTTGACGCGTTTTGTAGGAGACTCAGCAAGATTATATCCATGTTCGACTTGATCGATGACTACAACGCCTTGTTTAAGAAGAGAATGGAGGGGTTGCTACTCGGTGATGGTAATTGCTGCGTTATTTATACACAAATAATTAAATTACCTTGGAGTTTGTTGCAGCTCTGGAGGAGGCAACACAGAAGTTCACCGAAATAAAATCGGTGGTGATGAATAAAAAATATGACTACTTAGATCAAAGGAACAGCGAATTTGAGAACGACTACAAAAGCTTTTTGGCGCTCACTGATGAACTAAAGGAAGAAATTGCCGATACGATCGAAACAAGCTATGATAGCGTTTGGGAGACACCACAAGGAATTCAATTCTTAACCAGATTTGAAAAGGTATTCTAGTATTTAATATTTCATTGAACTTGTTTAAGTTATAACAGTGCATCCATTATTTAGGTCAGTGAGAAAATTCCTCTAAACAAGATGGAGGAGAAATACGAAAGGATTCTCAAGCACTGTGAAAAAGAAGTTGATAGAATTATCAAGATGTATAAAAAACAGAAAGATGATCCGCCAGTACCTAGAATGTTTCCGCCAATAGCAGGTAGACTTTACTTTGATCTTGAGTACTTTCCGTCTTGTTTTTATAAATTTTCCTTTTTGTAAAGTCAACTGAATAGTTGCTATAAAGTCTATACTGTCATCAGAAAGTCAACTTATACAAATTTTAGGCAGAATTAAGTGGGCGAGATCATTAGTGTCCCACCTCGATGAACTATTATCGAACGTAACTACTCACCATATCTTAAAGCATATGCCTGCTACAGTTGAACTCTCAAAACGACACAGACTGGCAGAGAACATGCTCAAAAGTTTTGAAACCGATATGGTAGCTTTGTGGATGAATCAACACGTAAGAATTTTTTCACTTATAACACAAGGAGTTATTGTACTTCTATATACCTTTCTAAATATTACAAAGATGATCGAATTAATGCTACTTCAATCTAGGTTTCTGACGTAGACAACTGCCTTCTGAGGAACCTGCTAGCAGTGTGCCCAGAGCAACAAAAACTAAAAGTCAACATCCACAACACCATCCCACTGCTCATAAGAGAAGCAGATCTTATGATGAAGATGGACTTACCCATGCCAATGGTCGCGTTGACTCTATTCGCCAAGAAGGACCATTTCAGTTTAGTCCAAGATCACTTACAAGTAATTAAATTCAATTAATTGGTAACGTTTCTTTATCTACTTCTTGCAGTTTCTGATAAACGACTTCTTAACGACTGTGAAGAACGTTAAACTGGAAGTAAGGCCGTTGTTTTTGCCACATCTAGTGAAACTGATAAACAAGGTAGAACCGGGTCTAACAAAACTCAACTGGGTATCATCCGACTGGCAAAATTTCGTGGACAAGGGGAATGAGGCGATTCATGACTTCAAAGTTTTGGTGAGGACAAAACTGGTCGGTTGATTGTTGCATGTTTGACCTCTAAATATGTTTTATAGTCGGATAGAGTCCATGACATCTACGTGAACAGGGTCCTGGAAGTACTGAAGAGTATGCAGTCCATCCAACTACACGCACTCCCGGAAATAGAGGAGGATCCCTGGCGCGTAGACTATTTCAGCGATAAAATTGAGTCTGTGTGTCGAAACGCAGCTGCTGAACTCCACAAGAAGAGCCTGATGGTGGAGGAAGCTGTGGAAGAAATTCTGTCTTTGGTACGCAAAGTGCAAGTGGATTCTCCGTCCGCTTCAGACGAAGACGAGTTTTTCTTTGAAGGTAAGTAATGTAACTAATTTCGATAGCACGGATACTAAATTGTCTTATAGAAGATGACAAGCTGACAGACGTGGGCACGGCGTCGACGCAGCAGCAGTCAGACTGGTCCTTGGTGTGGGAATGTTTCGAAAAGCCTCACATCCTGCTCAGTGGCGGCATGGGCAAGGCTATGCAGGATGTCGTAAGGGGAGCCTTAGGTGAAATGCGACGTTACTACAGCAGGAAGATCGTCGATGTCTTGGTGAGAGTCACCAGGACTTCTTTGGATGCTTTGCGAAGGAGATTTTCAATGGAATGTTAGTTGAGCCTCTTACAATACTTTTATTTTATCACACATATTCTCTTGGTTTTGTTTTGGGTTGTTGTAGATCGTTCGGAGAGGACAGCGGTGTTTCTGCTGAACTCCGTGTTGCTTATTCCTAAAGTAGGCATCCAACCCAACTTGGAAGAAGTACAAGAGTTACTGGTAGTTGCTGGAAGGTATATCACCTCGGCATCCAAAGGCGTAGGACAGTGGACTGCTGGTCTACCACAGGTAAACATTTCTTTGTAATTGAAGTGCATATGTCGATGTGCGATATTGTTGCTGCTTTATTATAGGTCTTAAGAGGACAAAATTTGACCACATTACCATAAAATTTCAAACGGCTTCAGATTCGTAAAACTTATGAAACAATAATGTGAATCCTTTTGTTTAATGTTTAAAAATAATTAGATATGTTATGATGTTGACGTATAAGGAAAAAAATTAAGAAATCATAGCCATAAATCAAGCTTGATAGTCTGTTTTTAAGTAGCATCGGGATCATTTAAAAAACAAACAATTTGTACGAATCAAAATGGAAGTCTACAGCGATTTTCGAACATTAAATTCTGTATTTGAAACTTGAGTTGTCCACTTTTTGTACAACAATTCAAATATATCTGTATTCGTAGAAACTATTTTGTAGCATTTTTTAAAATATTAATCGATATCCTAAATGATTGGTTGTGAAGTAGAGTGACAATCTTACCTCGAAAGAGATTGGACTCGGCGTGTCGACTAACTGTTAAATGTGAAGGTTTCAGAAGACAGTTGTACAAGTTTTAAGAACCAAGTAAGTACGCAGAAGCAGCGTAGCGCAACAGCACGAAACTTATACAACTGTTACAGCGTATTGCAGACATTATTAATCGTTGTTGTTTTTTCCTCCCCCACCGAAACACCACCCACTACCATGTACAAACGACACACCGTATATTAACGACACACTCTCACCCTGTATATAATACACACTCATGTAACTGCTTTTGATTTGGTTCCCGTTTGTTTTGAAATTACCACCACCACCACCATCACCACCACCACCGCCGCCATATATATCTATAAACAAACACACCACCCACCACATTGTATCCGACGTCACTCCACTGGGCATGCGGCTTTTGTAAATTGCTGCTGAAGGCACCCCCACCGAAGAAATCCGTGTGGAAAAAAATCGCCGGCCCCAAACCCAATCTAATGGACATTGTGTACCGTTCTCGCAACGAGCAGAAGGCCGCCAAGGGAGCCGTCAAGACCAAGGAGGACGATTTCAAGATGAGGAGGAGGCGGCTCTACAGGCTGGCCACGGAGGAGAAACCCAAGTTCCCGCTGCAGCACAGGAACTTCTACAGCCACGTGATGGAGAACAAGGAGGTGGTTAAGACGCTGTCGCTGCTGTCCACTTGCACTCAGGATATGAAGCAGGTATTTCACGGGGCGTCTCGAAATTAACGTGTACTAATTTCATGTCCGAGACATTAAAAATAATTTGATCGGTATATGTCGGGTGGGTTCGACAGACGAATGAACATAACTGTTTAATTGCTGGTATACTTCAATGCTTGTCGGGGCATGTAGCCAGCAGAGTAGTTGTTTCTTGCAATATTACGAACATCTATTTTAGTTGTTTACTTCATTTATTTTATACGTAACTTACCATAAATTCCGTGATCAATATCTTATTAACAAATTAAAAAAATTCACCTATGTTCTGAATTCAGTCAGACAATTATTTTTGAATCACGAACATTACATCAAACCAAGTTTCAAATTTTCCTTTTAGAGGACATTTTTTTAGTCGTGGAATGTGCTGGTAAAATATTGCATGTACAAAAGTGTAGAATTTTCAGCACAGTTTCGAGTGTTGGATTTGGCTTTGTTGCAGGAAATGAACCAGTTTATTGCAAGATGGAGGCCTTACAGCATCCTCTGGAGAAATGAAAAGTCCCAACGCGAACTACTGAGCCAGTGCCTTTCGGAGTTCGAAACGTCGTTGAGAAAACACGAAGAATTGAACGAGCGGTTAACAACCGAACCCGACACGTTCGTCATAGCAAATTGCTTGGCTATATCTACGGAAAAACTGAAATTTGGACTTGTTACAGAGATCAAGTCGTGCACACACAGGTACGTATTTTGCTTCACAACAATCGCTATAGTTTTGAAAATTTCAAAGGAAGTTTTTTATAAACTATATTTTCAGAATTGGACAGGCAATGAAGAAGAAGTACCGTAGAGAAATGGACTACGTATACGCCGTTATAAGCGAAATGGAACGGAAACTGGAAAGAACTATAAGAGATCTAGATGATGTTCGTTCAATAATGGACACCTTGAAGAAAATTCGAGAACAAGAAGTAGATATGGAGCTAAAAATTGACCCAATTGAGGTAACGCTTCAACCCATACCTTCACCATTCCACTGTTTGATTTTTTAGGAGGCGTTTAACGTTCTTAGCCGTTACGACATATCTGTAGAAAGAGAAATACTGGAACAAGTTGACAACCTTCGTTACACTTGGAGTCAATTTTTGGATAGAGCCCTCAAAGTTCAAGTCAACTTACTAGATATGCAACCGCAGTTCCAAGATGACTTGAAGAACAATTTGGATAAATTTAGACAAGACAAAATCGACTACTGCAACGAATATAAAACTGCTGGGCCAATGCAACCTGGCCTCTCTCCAAGAGAGGCTTCCGACAGGCTTATCCTTTTCCAAGTAAGTTTAACCTACCTAGCTGCAAGTGAGTCACACTTTTCTTCTTACTCTTTGATTTTTATATGTTAACCTGGGATGAAAACAGTCTTAATTTGTTTATTTTGTAACTTTCTAGAATCGCTTTGATGGGATGTGGCGCAGGCTCCAAACATACCAAAGTGGTGAGGAGCTTTTTGGCTTGCCAACAACAGATTACCCCGACTTGGCCCAGATCCGTAAAGAACTGAATCTCCTTCAGAAACTCTACAAGCTCTACAACGACGTTATAGACCGAGTAAACAGTTACTACGACATACCATGGGGAGAAGTTAACATCGAGGAAATCAACAACGAACTCATGGAGTTCCAAAACAGATGCAGGAAGTTGCCAAAAGGCTTGAAAGAGTGGCCCGCTTTCTTCGCGTTGAAGAAGACCATAGATGACTTTAATGATATGTGTCCTCTACTGGAATTGATGGCGAATAAGGCTATGAAGCCTAGGCATTGGCAGAGAATTATGGATTCTTTAAAGCATACTTTTGATTTTGAGAGCGACGGGTTCTGTTTGAAGAATATTTTGGAAGCGCCTCTTCTTCAACATAAAGAGGACATTGAGGTAGAAAAATTCATACTTTAGTTTTCTTTTGACTTCTCCAATAGGATATAATATCTTTTTATTTTTTTTGACGTAGGATATTTGTATATCTGCAATGAAAGAGAAGGACATTGAAAGTAAATTAAGGCAAGTAACAACTGAATGGTCAATCCACGAATTAACTTTCCAAACATTCAATAACAGAGGAGAACTGTTACTTAGAGGAGACACAACAGCTGAGACGATTGGGCAGTTGGAGGATAGTCTTATGGTATTAGGTTCCCTGCTCTCGAACAGGTATTACTTGCGGCATAATAAAAAAGTGATTGAAAATGTGATTGTTTTCTTAGATACAACGCGCCATTCAAGAAACATATTCAACAATGGGTACATGACTTATCCAACACGAATGAAATCTTGGAGAGATGGCTCCTGGTGCAGAACATGTGGGTCTACTTGGAGGCAGTTTTCGTAGGGGGAGACATCGCTAAACAGTTGCCCAAGGAGGCGAAAAGGTTCTCGAAGATTGACAAATCTTGGCAGAAGATTATGCAAAGGGCTCATGAAACGTCTGGTGTAGTTGCATGTTGCGTTGGTAAGGTGTAGTTCAATATATCGTTAGTCTGTTCACCAGATTTTCACTAATTGTTTGTCCTAAGGTGATGATCTTCTAAAGCAGCTGCTGCCTCATCTCCAGGAGCAATTAGAGCTGTGTCAAAAATCCCTAAGTGGCTACCTAGAGAGAAAACGAACGATGTTCCCAAGATTCTTCTTCGTATCAGACCCAGCTCTTCTAGAAATTCTTGGACAAGCGTCTGATTCGCACACCATCCAGAACCATCTGCTCTCCATTTTCGACAACACCAGATGGGTGAAGTTCCATGATATTGAATACAACAAAATAACAGCTGTGGTTTCTTCCGAGGGGGAATCAATTCCTCTGGAGAAAGCAGTCAGAGCTGAAGGAAGTGTGGAAACGTGGCTGACTCAGCTGTTGCAGACTTCCCAATCTTCGCTCCATTCGATTATCAGACAAGCCTACAACATGATAAACGACCCAAACTTCCACTTGCTTCAATTCTTGGATAAAATGCCTGCGCAGGTGAAGTATTTTTCTTACACCCAAAACCTTTTTGTTAATGTGAGGTTCATTGTCATATGTCTCTATTTATTTCAGATTGGATTGCTTGGTTTGCAGATGATCTGGACCAGAGATGCGGAGCTGGCCTTAATGCAGGCAAGGCACGACAAAAAAGTCATGCCAGACACTAATAACAAGTTCCTGGAGCTTTTAAATACTCTCATAGATCAAACCACGAGAGACCTTACAAGAATCGAGAGAACGAAGTTTGAGACTCTTATCACTATACACGTTCATCAGCGAGATATTTTCGACATCCTGGTAAGCTTTTACTTTAATAGTTGGACAGTTGTGAATACGGTTTTAATTTTTAGTGCCGAATGAATGTAAGACACGTGAACGACTTCGAGTGGTTAAAACAGTGTAGATTTTATTTCAAAGAGGAGCAAGATAAGACACTCATAATAATAACGGATGTGTCGTTTTCGTACCAAAATGAATACCTTGGATGTACTGACAGATTGGTTATCACCCCTCTTACCGATAGGCACGCTTGAAGAAATCTCAAGCAATATAAAATCAACTTTAACTATGTTATGTTTTAGGTGCTATATAACACTTGCCCAAGCATTGGCCATGAGTTTAGGAGGAGCTCCTTGTGGACCAGCTGGTACCGGCAAAACAGAAACCGTAAAGGATATGGGTAAAACTTTGGCAAAATACGTCGTCGTTTTCAACTGTTCCGATCAGATGGATTACAGAGGTCTTGGTCGTATTTATAAAGGTAGACGCATACAGTTTTTATAATCTATTCTGGGAGTTCCACAAGGACTTATACTAGGTCCATTTTGTTTGATTAACATGTTACTAATGCTTTTGCGACTTTTGTATGTCAGGAAAATGCAACAATTTTATCGATTTTAGGTTTGGCTCAATCCGGTTCATGGGGATGCTTCGATGAGTTCAACAGGATAGAACTGCCTGTCTTGTCGGTAGCTGCACAGCAGGTTGCTGTAGTACTAGCCAGCAAAAAAGAGAAAAAGAAGAGTTTCCAGTTCACCGACGGCGATATAATCGACCTGTGTCCAGAATTTGGCATTTTTATAACAATGGTGACCTATGCTCCAAAAACCTCGTTTCTGTTAGAGTAACATCGTTTATTACAGAATCCTGGCTACGCTGGAAGGAAAGAATTACCCGAAAATTTGAAGATACAATTCAGAACAGTCGCCATGATGGTACCAGACCGCCAGATCATCATCAGAGTTAAACTTGCCAGCTGTGGTTTTCTTGAAAATATAACACTCGCAAGAAAGTTCTACACCCTCTACAAACTATGCGAAGAGCAGCTGACCAAACAAGTCCACTATGATTTCGGCTTGAGGAATATCCTGTCGGTATTGCGCAGTTTGGGGGCAGCAAAGAGGGTGAATAACAAAGACACCGAGAGTACTATAGTGATGAGGGTATTGAGAGACATGAATCTCTCGAAACTTATAGACGAGGACGAGCCGTTGTTTATTTCCTTGGTGGCGGACTTGTTCCCGAACCAAGTTCTGGAAAAAACCGCTTATCCAGAACTGGAAGATGCCATTGAGAATCAAGTGGAACAAGCGGGACTTGTGAATCATTCCTCTTGGGCTCTTAAGTTGATTCAGGTAGGGCAGTGTAAATTGACTGATAATATACTTATATGATATAGTAAATGTTCGATGTGGCCATCTGCGTTTGTACTAAACAGTATTACGCGCTCTGAAGAGAATTATAAATGTCATAGTCAAGTGAAATGTGAAATTATGCGTGTACATTCGTTCTGCGACCGCAACCTTTTGTCTATATTCACCGTACATCATAGCATAGTTCTAAATTGGTGATTGTAAAAAAATAACGTCCGATTAAGACAATTTTACACATACCAGACTTCATATACCCTCTGCACATGAAAAGCGGATGCACGGGAGTGATTTGAAACTCAATACTACAACAAGTCAGTAAATAATTGTCTAGTTTTATAAAATTTTCAGCTGTATGAAACGCAACGCGTTCGTCATGGAATAATGACTCTTGGCCCTACTGGAGCTGGCAAGACGACATGCATTCAAATTTTAATGAAATCTCTGACGCAAATGGGAGACTTCCACAAGTAATACTACGATAACTTTAATTAATAATTATTTATACCATTCAATAATTTTAGAGAAATGAGAATGAATCCCAAAGCGATCACAGCTTCCCAAATGTTCGGTAGGTTAGATGTAGCTACTAACGATTGGACAGATGGGATATTTTCAGCTCTATGGAGGAAAACTTTGAAATCCAAACAAGGTATCTGTCACCTAAAATATGGTGATCATTTCAAGATTGAAGTTTGTCTTCATATCTGCCATCCTTTGTTTCTATATTGTTACAAATAATGAGTTAAATTTTTAAATTTTAGCTGAACATATATGGTTGGTGCTGGATGGTCCAGTCGACAGTATATGGATAGAAAACTTGAACTCTGTCTTGGACGACAACAAAACCTTAACTTTAGCAAACGGCGACAGGTTGGCAATGGCCCCAAACTGCAAAATAATTTTCGAACCACACAACATAGACAACGCCTCTCCCGCTACGGTATCAAGAAACGGAATGGTCTATATGAGCTCGTCGGGGTTGACTTGGAAGCCGGTTGTAAGAGCTTGGCTCAAGAGGAGAAGCCAGAGTGAGCAAGATGTATTTACTACTCTATTCGACGAATCTTTTTCTGAACTGTATACCTGGGGGACTCAAAATTTATCTTTGGTTATGGAGGTGCTTCAGTGCAACATTACCTTACAGATTCTGAAATTGCTGGAAGGTTGATGAGGAGTATATAATAGTCATCACTGTCTAAAATTTCGTTTCTAGGGCTCATTCCCAGCCAGGTGGAGACGGACGACATCTCCGCAGCTAAATCCGATATCGGTGACGATGACGATATGCTTGAAGAGTCCGAGAAAAGCGAGGAGCATAAGTTGCTTACATCTGAGCATTTGGCAAAGTTGTACGTATTTGCTTTGACCTGGGGTATGGGCGCCTATCTGGATGCAGAAGACAGACTAAAGTACGACGTGTTTCTGAAGGATAGTTTGAGCTTTTTGGATCTGCCAATCAATGACAGAAAGAATCCAGATGTAAGTACATTTAAGATTATTAATTTTTTATTCAAAAGTGACTTATCAAAGTAACCAAAATTGCAGGCAACAGTCTTTGATTATGCTGTCAGTTCCGATGGAGAATGGAAGCTTTGGAGCTCAATGGTGACGAACTACGTGTATCCTGAGACCAGTACGCCAGATTTCTCTACAATACTCATCCCCATTCCTGACAACGTCAGGATCAACTACCTAGTGGACACAATAGCGAAGCAAGAAAAGGCGGTACTGCTTATTGGCGAACAGGGCACAGCCAAAACGGTCATGATGAAGTCTTACATGAAGAAAGCCAACCCGGAACTGTACCTAAACAGAGCCTTCAACTTTTCCAGTGCCACCTCTCCCTATCAGTTCCAAAAGATTATAGAGAGCTATGTGGAGAAGAGGATGGGGAACACGTTTGGTCCTGGGAATGGAAAGAAAATGATCGTTTTCATAGACGATATTAACTTGCCTGAGATTAACTGTTGGGGAGATCAGGTGAATATCAAAATTTTGAGCTAATTAACAGTTATTTTGCATGATGTGGTAGTATTTACACAGACGAGCCGGCGAAGCAAGAAGAGCGCCAGAAGAAAGGGCCCTAGCCGGCGGGGCCCAGCCAGGACAAAAGGAGGTCCCACAAAGCGCCTACACCGGCCGCATTTGCGGTCGGGGTAGACGACGGATGGGGCCCACCTACGAAGGCTGTCCAGGTCTACACGAGATGAGGCAGGATAAAGAGGGATGATCCCCCTCGATCCTAAATCATTGAGGCCAATTTCTAGCCATGGAATAATGGCGCGTGTGGTAGTAATAAAATTATATCCAGGTAACCAATGAAATCGTGAGACAGACCATGGACATGGGTGGCTTTTACAGCTTGGAGAAACCAGGGGAATTCACCACGATCGTAGATGTACAATTTGTAGCCGCGATGGGACAACCCGGTGGTGGCAAGAACGACATACCCTCCAGGCTCAAGAGGCAGTTTTGCATGTTTAATTGTCCGCTGCCGACAGACACGTCAATAGATAAAATATTTGGAGTAATAGCCCAAGGTCATTACAACTCCAAGAGGGGATTTTCCTTGGAAGTACGGAATCTAGTTAAGAAACTGATACCTTTGACAAGAATTTTATGGAAGAACACGAGGCAGAAATTGTTGCCCACTCCGGCTAAATTCCACTATGTTTTCTCTCTCCGAGATCTATCAAGGATTTGGCAGGGGATGGTAAGTGAAAAGATCACATTATATTAGATTATCATTTTAGTCAACGATCAATTTCTCTTGCAAGATTGGCACCCTTTCCACAGTAATAGAATCTGAGGGTTGCATGATGGTGCTGTGGAAGCACGAATGCACAAGAGTTTTCTCCGATAGATTCACCTTAGAGTCCGACAAAGAGTGGTTCAACGAGGAGTTGTTGAATTTAGTGGAAGAGCACCTAGGAGCGGACCTTCGATCAAAAACTGAACCAAATCCGGTATTCGTTGATTTCATGAGGTAAAATAGACGACAGTATATCACTGACAACATTAATTCCTTATTTTTTCAGAGATGCTCCTGAGCCGACAGGTGAGGAAGGTGAGGATGCCGATATGGAACTTCCCAAGGTTTACGAACCAGTCGACGACGAAAACGTATTGCGAGAGAGGCTAGATATGTTTCTGTCTCAATTCAACGAGATGGTGAGGGGAAACGGCATGGACCTGGTGTTCTTCCCCGACGCTATGTTGCATTTGGTCAAAATATCGAGGATTATAAGACATCCTCGAGGGAACGTTATGTTAGTTGGTAGGTGGGGCAAATGGTGACTCTAGAAATAGCCTCTTGAATAGAAATAAACTATATTTTGACCATTTCAGGTGTTGGAGGAAGCGGCAAGCAATCACTTACCAAACTGTCATCGTTCATAGCCGGTTACAAGACTTTTCAGATAGCCCTAACCCGCTCTTACAACATAGCGAACTTCTTGGAAGACCTTAAGGTCCTTTACAGATCGTGCGGATGTCAGGGGAAGGGAACTACTTTTATTTTCACCGACTTGGACATAAAGGAAGAGGGTTTCTTAGAGTACTTGAACAACATCCTTTCGGCTGGTGTGATGTCGAATCTGTTCACTAAGGACGAACAGGCTGAAATCATACAGGAATTGACTCCTATCATGAAACGAGAGAACCCAAAGAGGACCCTAAATCAGGAAGTCGTGATGGAGTACTTCATGAACAGGACCTGCCAGAATTTGCACGTCGTCTTTTGTTTTTCACCGGTAATGATAGTCCTTGCATAAATTCTGATTACTGTTATTTAAATTCCAAACAAATAAAAGATAGGGTGCGTCTAAGCGGATCATATTTCCAATTCTAGGTTGGTGAGAAGTTTAGAAATAGAGCATTGCGCTTCCCAGCTTTAATATCAGGTTGCACCATAGACTGGTTTCAACCATGGCCGAAGGATGCCCTAATCTCAGTGGCCGAACACTTCTTGGCAGACTTTGAGATCGAATGTACATCGGAAGTGAAACAAGAGTTAGTTAAAGCACTCGGATCTATCCAAGACGTCGTATCGTGCACGTCCACAGAATATTTCCAGAGGTAGGACCTGATAATAAAATAAAACACTCGTTTCATTTTCAACTAACCGGGAATTTTGCTGCTTAAGGTTCCGTCGAGCAACCCATGTCACCCCAAAGTCTTACTTGAACTTCATAGCGGGCTACAAGAGCATCTACAAGAGTAAACAGAAGGAATTGAGCGATGGCGCTCTGCGCATGGATACCGGTCTGGAGAAATTGGCGGAGGCTTCATCGTCGGTGTTAATCTTGAAGAAAGAATTAGCTGTTATGGAGAAGGAGCTAGCCGACGCTTCTGAAAGGGCTGAAACGGTTCTTACCGAGGTTTGTTTCATGACGTAGTACATTTTCCAGTCCAAATCTGTCAAACAATTCATACATATTTTTGTAATTCTGTTTTATGTACTTTTTAAGGTAACTGAACGCGCGATGCAAGCAGAGATTGTGAAGAATCAAGTGCAAAAGGTGAAAGAGAAAGCTGAAGTTCTAGTATCTTCTATAGCCGAGGAAAAGGCTCTAGCTGAACAGAAACTGGAGGCTGCCAAACCGGCGCTAGAGGAAGCCGAGGCAGCTTTGAACACTATAAAGCCTGCACATATTGGTAATGTAACCCGAGGGGTAATTTCTTTACTTATCTAACTACCGCTATGACCAGTATCATAAAAATTACCTAATTGACTGGACTTACATTTATATAGATAATTCTGTGACTAACTGAACTCGCAAGTAACCCTAGCCTTCCTCTAGTGACTTTGTGTAGCAATACGGGACGGGTTAGTCAATCTCATTTAATCTATTCTTATAGCTTGGAAAATCCGCCTAAAAACCAGCTATTTGATCTATTATTATTTTTCTAACAACTTATTCTCGGAATTCCTACGTTCTTTGGAATGCATTTCGCGCGTTATTTGAAATATCGATTTTTCTCTTCATACCAGATGCTCAACACATTACCCTAACAGTCTAAGTGAACTTGTTAAAAAATATTGCTAAATTTCATAAGGCCTTCTCCGAACGACGGGCTTGTGGCGACGCTACCTACTTGAAAGCTCTTAACTTTTCGATAAATTAGTGTTGACTGAAATATTTTACTTTTTGGCAAATCCGTTCCGAGAACTAATAAATAAATTACCACGCGTCCCAGCTTTTGTTACAGTAAGTTGAGATTGAAAATATATGGAAGAGTATGTTTGGAAAATTTTAATTGATAATCACCTACTCTAAAGGGGTAAACAAAAACATAATATAAAGAATATCATATGAAGATCTAGAGGAACTCCTAAAATAAGCTAAACTATGTAAAAACGCTGGCTAATAAGTTTTTATTTGCATTTTTTGATTTTGAGAATACATGTAACTGAACGCTTTTTATTTTCCTTTTGTGTGGAATTTTTAAATAGTCCGTAAACAACATATGATATATTTTTAAAGCAGAATTAAATCATTTAAAAATAAAAGTGGGACAAAGATTGACCCCTGAGGAACACCAGCGCTAGTAATTGAACTATAAGATGTGTAATCTCCATATTCTACAAAATAAAGTCTAATACTGCTAAGTTATTAGAAAAATAAATTAATCTAAGTTTAAAAATTAAAAGAGAATGGCACAAATTAAATTTTGTAAATGCTTAATGATTATTATTAATGGTTAAATACCTTCTGCATATCAGTTTGCCTTTGAGTAGCTAAAGCGTCAGATAACTACCGAAGTTAGTATATTTCTCTATAAATACATGTTGATTATACAGAATTACCTTAAAAAGCTTATCAAACCTACTTAGAATAGACATTGGTCTACAAGAATAGGTAATTCTTCACACAAGACACATCGCCACTCTTAAGAATTGAACGAAATTTTCTAGTATTCCAAATATTTGAATACTGATTCATGAACAAAGTGTTAATTAATTTTTTAAATTATTTTCAGCTACTGTGAGAAAATTGGGGCGGCCGCCTCATTTGATCATGAGAATAATGGACTGCGTCCTCATCCTGTTTCAACGAAAATTACATCCTGTCGTGCCTGATACCGCAGCGCCTTGCCCAAAACCATCATGGCCTGAGTCGTTAAAGGTAAGAGTCTTCTCTAACCTTTAACTTTAACTTTTCTGAAAGTCTATTTGACTGTATTTTTTCTTTCTCAAAATATTAAAATAATGCCAATTAATATTTAAAAAATAGGTAAAGAGGATAAAGGCTGGTTGATGCTAAAACGAATGCGAATATAAGAACGAAGCTGCTCTATAATGAATGAAGTATTACAAAAATAAATTTGGAAATTTTTGTCAAAATTAAAACAAATTTAATTTTTACGTTTCGTTTTAACTAAGAGGTTCCTATTTAAGATTTCAAATTTGATCACTGCTATTCTTTAGAGAGTTAAATATTTTGTCCCGATGACTTTTATAGATTTTCAATATTTACCTTGTTTTGATATATTTGGCCCAATTATCATATTTTGACCTCAGGGTTATCTGGTAGCATTTGGTGCTCCATCACATTTTAATCAAAAGAAACGGAAAGCTTATTTAAAACAAATTTAGAGTAAGAGGTTTAAAGAAAATAGTACTGTCAATCACATTTTATTGGAAATCCTTTGAACTTTTCGAGGAATACTCTGTATAAGTAAATTTGTGTAATTTATGAAATATAAGTAAAATCCACTATACGATACATCCTATCTTAGATGATGGCCTCAACCACGTTCTTGCTTCAACTTCAAAACTATCCCAAAGACATCATAAACAACGAAATGGTGGAATTACTTCAACCGTACTTCCAAATGGAAGATTACAACATGGATACAGCCAAGCGGGTCTGTGGTGATGTCGCTGGTTTGCTGTCTTGGACGAAAGCCATGGCGTTCTTCCACAGCGTCAATAGGGAAGTTCTACCTTTGAAAGCTAATTTAACTTTGCAGGAAGCTAGACTGAAAGTAAGTCGGAAACTACTGTTTTTATTTTTATTTTTACGTGCCCGTGTTTCTTCTAGGTGGCCATGGAAGACTTGGCTGCAGCTGAACAACAACTGGAGGAGAGAGAACAATCGTTGAGGGAAGTAAAGGAGCAATACGACAAAGCAGTTTTAGAAAAACAGAGACTGACGGATGCGGCTAACTCGTGTCTGAGGAAGATGAACACTGCCACCACACTGATAAATGGACTCGGTGGCGAGAAGGTCAGGTGGACGCAGCAGAGCAAGGAGTTCAAACAACAACTGGGTAAATTTCTTAGTAACATAATAAATCCTAAATAAAAATTACTTTTGACATATTTTAACTAATAAAACTGAGGCGAGGTCATTGAGATAAGATTATTTTGTTTATTAGTTTCTTGCTTTCACTTGAGAAACTTTTTACAAAAATCCCTCTTAAGCCGAATATATAAATTTTTTCTGAGAAGATGGAAATTACCTACATTTAGATTTTTTAATGTTTTTAATTAGTCTTCTTACCAGTTAATTTAATTTCAACGAAACAAGTTATGTAAGACTTACATATATGTCAACATTTTGATTACCCAGGTCGACTAGTCGGAGATGTTCTTCTGGCGACGGGATTCCTGTCTTACTGTGGCCCATACAATCAAGAATTCAGGGCAAATCTAGTCAACACCTGGATGGAAATTTTGTTGTCCAGATCGATCCCGTACACGGTTAACTTAAACATTACAAACATGCTCGTGGAGAATTCCACAGTTTCCGAATGGACCCTTCAGGGACTGCCAAATGATGAGTTGTCAGTCCAAAACGCATTGATAGTTACCAAATCAAGGTCATACCCACTACTCATCGATCCACAGAACCAGGGTAAGATGTGGATTAAGAACAAAGAAGCGGACAACAATTTGCAAATAACTTCTTTGAATCATAAGTATTTCAGGACACACGTTGAAGACTGTTTGTCTTTAGGTAAGCCCAAAAAGTTTGCTCGTTAATGGAATCATTGAACATGATCTTTTTCAGCACCACTTATTTATTTGAATAGATACTTTATCCCATACGAAAGATACGAACGACCTATTCTTGTTTTAGGAAAGCCACTTTTAATAGAAGACATCGATATAGAGTTAGATCCGGTCCTGGATAACGTTTTGGAAAAAAATTTCATCAAATCAGGCTCTATAGAAAAAGTTATAGTCGGTGATAAGGAATGTGATGTTCTCAAAGGGTTCATGTTGTATATTACGACCAAATTACCAAATCCACCATATTCCCCAGAAATTAGCGCCAAAACCTCCATAATAGACTTTACTGTTACCATGTTAGGTAAGTTTTCCTTTCTTTTTTTGTTGAACTAGTTGGAACTAGGAAGTAGTCGATCATAGAGAGTATAAGAAGGACGTGTTTGTCATAAATATACCAAATTCTCATATGTAGGATTGGAAGATCAACTGCTTGGGAGAGTTATCTTAATGGAAAAATCTGACCTAGAGGCGGAGCGCGTGGCGCTCTTTGAATCCGTGGTACAGAACCAGCGCAGCATGAAAGACTTGGAAACCAACCTGCTAAGTCGGTTGAACTCTACCCAGGGCTCCCTGGTGGACGACGAAGAACTGATAAACGTCCTCCAGGTCACCAAAACCACTGCCGAAGAAGTGACTCAGAAACTGCAGGTGTCAGCTCAGACTGAGAGGAAGATCAACGTCGCCCGGGAAGAGTTCAGGGCGGTGGCAGCTAGAGGTTCCATTTTGTACTTCCTCATCGTGGAAATGAGCAACGTCAACGTCATGTACCAGAACTCGCTCAAGCAGTTCCTGATTCTTTTTGATAGTTCAATTACTAAGTCGGAGAAAAGTACCAACACGGCGGAAAGAATAGACATCATATTGAAGTATCTTACTCATGAGGTAAAGCAAATTGTAGTGTCTGACAACTGCTATTAGGTGGTTGTAAGTTGTCTTCATTGTAAGTTCTTTCTAGGTTTGGACTTTTACTCAAAGAAGTTTGTACGAGCGACACAAAGCACTATTCACACTGATGATGGCCATGAAGATTGACTTACAGAAAGGAGTCATAAGTCACGAAGAGTTCCTGGCTTTCATAAAAGGAGGTGCTTCTCTAGATTTAAATGCAGTGGTTCCAAAACCTTTTAAATGGATTCTGGACATAACTTGGCTGAATCTGGTTGAAATCAACAAGTTGGCCACTTTTTCGGACGTTCTAATAAAGGTAACGGAAAAAGAGAAAATGTGCGAATGTGTGATTTTCACTGTCAACTAACACCGAATTTATTTCCATCCTTTAGAAAAGGTCAGAGTTTATCTTTAATTTTCAAATTACTGATTTTGATTACTCTATTTCTTGTTTCAATGTTTGAATTTTGCAAATACAGAATTCTAATGGGTGTTTCTTATGAGTTCTGTTTTCTAAACATGCATCTGGCTTGAGTTTTTATTGTTAATCAGATTGAAGCGAATGAAAAGGACTGGAGAGTTTGGTACGAGAAAGAAAAACCAGAAGAGGAAGACATACCTTGTGGTTATCACAAAAAATTAGACGTTTTCAGGAAATTACTGCTGATCCGTTCATGGAGTCCAGATCGTACTTTGTCGCAGGCTCGAAAGTACATCATGGGTAAGAGCTTTTTCCCATTTCGAAGTTTGTCAGCACGTGACAAAAACGTTGCTAAAAAGTGTTTTTATTTCTTATAGATTCTTTGGGAGAAGAGTATGGCGAACCTTGCATATTAGACTTGGAAGCAACGTGGAATGAATCAGAACCAACTACTCCTTTGATATGCATTCTATCCATTGGCTCGGATCCTTCCCCACAAATATCTGCGTTAGCAAAAGCTAAGGAAATAAGTATGTTAATGAAATTATAAGTTTTACTGAAGACCCTGATAGGTAGAACAATTCAATTAATAAAAATTACACATCAACTACATTTCAGCACTAAAAGCAGTCTCCATGGGTCAGGGGCAGGAAATCGTAGCCCGAGACATGATCGAATCGTCCATGTCGAACGGCGGGTGGGTTCTCCTGCAAAATATACACCTTTCTCTGCCTTTTGCCACTGAGGCAATGGGTATGATTGTAGACACCGAGAATATCCACGAAACCTTTCGTATCTGGTTGACAACGGAAGTTCATGAACAATTCCCCATAGGGCTTCTCCAAATGGCCATTAAATTCACCAACGAGCCGCCCCAAGGGATCAGGGCTAGCTTGAAGAGGACTTACCAGAGCATCACTCAAGACTACTTGGACTACTCGGCGCAATCGCAGTGGCCACCTTTGCTGTACGCCGTCGCCTTTTTGCACACGGTGGTTCAAGAAAGGAGAAAGTTTGGGCCACTTGGTAATACATTCGGTGTTCCATTGAAATCTCCTGTTTTCAAATGTTTGGTATTGCTCTTTTCTAGGATGGAACGTTCCTTACGAGTTCAATCAAGCCGATTTCGCTGCTAGCGTCCAGTTCATCCAGAACCATCTGGACGATATGGACCCCAAGAAAGGAGTGTCATGGCCGACTGTGTGCTACATGTTGGGAGAGGTGCAATATGGTGGGAGAGTAACTGATGATTTTGATAAGAGACTGTTAACAACTTTCACTCAGGTTTTATTTAATACGTTATCATACAACTGGTTTTATTTATACTTTGCGTTAGGTGTGGTTCTGTGACATACTTCTAAGACCAGGCTTCGAGTTCTACAAAGGTTACAAAGTACCACAAACTAGGAACTTGCATGGATACATCGACTACATCAATGCATTGCCTGCGACTGATTCACCAGAAGTTTTCGGTTTACATTCCAACGCTGATATCACCTATCAGATAAACACTGCTAAGGGTGAAGATGTTGCCTTACCATTATTTTTCAACAAACGTTTCATATGTAATTTTTTAGGTATTCTAGACACAATTCTTAGCGTGCAACCAAAAGAAGGAGGTGGTGGTTGTGGTGAAACCAGAGAAAGTGTGGTGTATTGCTTAGCCCAAGACATGCTGCAGAAGTTGCCGATGCAGTACAACAGTTTCGAGGTTAAGGATGCCCTTCAAAGGATGGGTGCCCTACTGCCAATGAATATAGTTCTGCGTCAAGAAATAGACAGGATGCAAAAAGTACTTAAAGAGGTAAATGATGACTAATTTTGTACTGCAATCTCACGACTGTCCTTTTATGTTTAGGTTAAGTCCACTCTAACTGATCTAAAGCTTGCCATAGACGGAACAATAGTCATGAGCCAGAATTTAAGAACTTCCTTGGATGCCATGTACGACGCAAGGATTCCAGAAAAATGGCTAAAGGTAACTTTGGGTCTTGCTTTTACAAAACTGTTAATACAATGAATTTAGATATCTTGGGAGTCAGCAACGTTAGGGTTTTGGTACACGGAACTCCTGGAACGGGACGCTCAGTTCCGGAACTGGTGCCAAAACGGCAGACCTAACGTCTTTTGGATGACTGGCTTCTTCAATCCTCAAGGATTCCTAACGGCTATGAGACAGGTAACTGCCTATCGTTTCCGATCTAATGAAAGTGTAACAATCTCATTTTTAAGGATGTTACAAGGGCTCACAAGGGTTGGGCGTTGGACTCTGTAGTTTTACAGAACCTCATAACGAGGTACAGCAAAGAAGACTTGAAGGAGGGTCCACAAGAAGGAGTTTATGTCCATGGACTTTTCTTGGAGGGCGCTAGTTTAGATCGTAAGTCTGGCAAGTTGGTCGAGAGCAAACCAAAGATCCTGTATGAGCAGATGCCTGTAATATACATTTACGCCATTAATACGACGGCCGGTAAAGATCCTAGGTTGTACGAGTGTCCGATTTACAGGAAGCCGCAGAGAACGGATCAGAAATACGTTGGTTCCATCGACTTTGAAACAGAACACAATCCAAGGCACTGGACGTTACGTGGTGTTGCACTTTTATGTGATATAAAGTAATATTTATTTATTTGAATAAAAGAATTATTACTTATTTCGTTAACTCTTTGTAAAGTACCAGTTGAACACAAAGAATAACAGTACATATACGATGAAAACAAAAGATCATTTGCAATTACAATTTTTTGAAATTATTCGATTTATTTTTTTTTAATTTATCGAAAAATGCTTGTAATCTTAGCATAACCTGATGAAATGACAATTTTTTGGGGTTTAAATGAGCAAAAACAAATTAATTTGGAAGTACACTCTCGAAAATTTAGTTAAAAAAAGGACATCCTCTGGACTTGTATACAAGGTCTGTTCAAATAATAACCGAACTTTTTCAATTACGTGCTAATGGAGATATTTAGTGACATGCGGTTGGCAGCATTGCAATGTAGACGACCTCCTCTGTAACCACATGTTCTTGCCCACAAAACACGAAACGTAAATGAAACGTTGCAAATGAGATGTTTTACTAAACATTTGAAACATTAACTAGAAACGTTTCTTTTTCATTACAGAAATGTAGCACTTGAAAACTTATTTAGTGAAACATAGCCGAAACGTAATTGAAGAGAGTTTGAAACATTACTCGAAACATTCCCTTTCGATCTCGGAAACATAACAGACGAACGACCCTTTACTATTTTTGCTTATCTTATGGAACATTCGGCATTAGTTAAATTTTGCTCTCGATCCCCAATCCTTCTCAAGCGTTAGTTCGTTTGCCTTTGTTATATAAAGACATAATTAGAAAAAAAATGTGGTAGCATATTTATAACACAAGTCTAGAAAAAATGTATGTTCGTGACTTGCGTAGACTGCGCGTAACAGCCCGAGTTTATTTGTTTCCCGTGTGTCGTTTCAATTCGTATTATGTTAGGTTAGGTTTGCGGTTGGTCAGTTTGCTTGGTTTCGTTGTTATTCATCTTTACTTTGACGCTATTTTATGTGATAATTTTTAGTGTGTGCAGTTGTGATAATTGTAAGGTGCATATAAAATAATGAATATTGATGCAAAATGTTTAAAACGATATGTGTAAAGAGATTTCCAATTTTGCGTCATATCTACCTAAACATAGTTATTTATACCCATTACCTATTATAGACAAGAGGACAAGGGACAAGAACTAAGAAAATGGAACATGGAACTAGGTATACGTTTTGATATAATTTGAAGAGCAACTACTTAGTCAGTGAGAACTATTTGAAATATGGATGAATCAAGTGAAATAGATGTAATTTATTTTATATTTTGTACAAATGTTTATATTTGTTTATGTGTATAGGCATGCTTAAAAAAAAAGAGTTTAGGTATACCTACAGATATTTACTTGGTCAAGATATCATTTTGTATCCTTATTTCTGCTGTATAATTTATTATTATTAAAAGGATATATGTAATATTGACCATGCGTAGAAGAAATTATAACTTTATATTATTTTTCAGTAATGTTATTTGTTTTTCATGTACCTACCATTTCAAGATTCATAATCATAACTAACTTTTTCCAATTATCAGTTCGTCATTGTTACCATATTCATGAAGGTCTCAACATTAGAAAATTCCATTTCTGAAGCGTAATTGAACTATATAAAATGTGTAGCTTTTTTTTAATGCTTCTGATATTGTTTTGTGATATTTTTATTTGTACGATGAATGGCAAAATTCATAATCCATATTAGAAACTTTTTTCAGTGGCTTCTCAAAAAGAAAGAAATTCTTAGTAAAAGTTGCCGCATCCCCAAAATAGAAGAGCATATTTATTTTTTTTAATATACAATGTAACTTTTTTTAGTTCGAATTAAGTCATTCACAATACAAATAAAAATATCACAAAGGGGTATTAGAGATATTTAAAAAAATACTCACACTATTTATACTATTTCAAAAACGCTTTTGAAATGAAAATGATCTAAAGTTGAGAGCATTATGAAAACAATATGGTAATAAAATTATTATGTTACTCAAACATTTCTGAAAATATACTGAAACGTAAAACAAAAATATCGAGGGCATAAATGGAACATAAAAAGAATGTTACTGAAACCAATTTTTTTAAACGTTTCATTGGAAACGTATTTTGGGGAGGACATCTTGGGCTTCTAGAACGTTACCAGAATGTTGCATGGATTTTTTATGAAACGTTTCAAGAAAAATGGAAACGTTTCTGAAACATGTCAGAAACTGAAAAATGTTTAGTGGGTGGATTATTGATATCTCATTTAATTTTCATGATATTGTTATTTGAGTGCAACATGTTTAAGTGTTACTGACGATTTTTGAAATGTCCCAATCGCACACACTTTCCCGACCCCCACGCACATACCCATCCCTCCCCGCTACCCAGTTCGCACGTACTTTTATAAACTTTCAGTGATTATGCTGTTTTGGTATATTTGGCCCAATTATCATATTTTGGCATCAAGGTTATTCGGTAGCATTTGTCGCTCCATCAAATTTTAATCGAAAGAAATGGAAAGCTTATTTAAACCAAATTTAGAGTAAGAGGTTTAAAGAAAATATCACCAATCAAACACAAAATTTTATTGGAAAATAGAAAATATTTAACAATCAAAATAATGGGATCGAGTTAATGGCTATTACAAAAATGTTGAATGAATTACGTATTTTTACATAAAGCATAATATGTACAGAGCGACCCATTTTAAATCCGAACACCCTGAAAAATTTCATAACAAAAATTTGGAATATTAAAATTTTTGAAGATAAATTTCATAGGAAAATGTCTTGTATTTATTATGAGAGGAAGTAAATTATGGCATAAACATCAAACACAGACCACAAAATTAATTATAAGTAATCAATATTAATTATGCTTAATTAATATTAATTATAATTATAATAATAATATATCTAAGTAGTGAGAACAAGTCAGCCAATATCCAAGGCTTTTATCACGGAAATTTTTTGTCTTGAGATAGTTCGTATCATGTATATTCTGTTTTATATATTTTTCCAGAGATTGTTGTACGATGTATTTTATCACAGCTCAATTGGCCTTTCAGATTGGAACAGAATAGATAACTGAATAAAAAAGCAATTAAAAGCACATTTGACTTTATTTAGATTAAAATTTTTTGAAATTATTCCGATTTATTTTTTTTTATTTATCGGATAATGCTTGCAATCTTAACATAAACCTGCTAAAATGAGAATTCTTTGGGGTTTGGAAGTGCCAAATCTTATTTAAAAATTGGAAGTACACCCTGAAAATTTAACTCAAAAAAAAAGACTCACTGGACTGACATACGAGGTTTTGAATTATATACTAATGGAGATATTTAGTGATATGCGGTTTCCAGCATTGCATTATTCACAACCTCATATGTAACCACATGCTCTTGGATTATCGATATCTCATTTAGTTAAGTTCGGTTATAAATTTTCCCCCAAATTATAATATTTTCAGGATACTAACATTTTTTTCTGGTTTCATTGACGAAAATATATTAAAAATACTGAACTTAATTCAATAGAAAATGTTATTAGACAACAGAATAATGCAGAAAAAGTACATTGACTATTAAAAATATGTTACAATTTGGTAAAATAACAATACATTTTTCACAAATATATAGCACTAGAAAAAAAAAAAGAATTATGTAGATGTAACTAAATTTCATATCATTCTTGATACACGTAGGTAACTAATTTGATTCATGGTCTTCATACACGTATGAGTCTGTGTCAGGCAATATTTGCAATTGGTCTCTGTTATTGACTTGATAATCAAAATATATTGTGTTATTTGAAGTAGTAAGTACCAACAAATTAGGCAGATCAGAAAACGCGCCTGCTTCAACCGATTCTATTTTATTGTTATCTAAATACAATTCCACTAACAATTTTAAATGTTTAAAAGCTTTGGCGGGAATGTGTTTTATTTTATTATTCTGTAAGGACAGCTTAGCCAGTCCTTCGAGATTACTGAAGTAATGAGGCTGTATCTCTGTCATAATATTATCGTTAAGGTACAATCTCTTGAGGTTTGTCAGATGAGAGAATACTTTCCTAGGCAACCACTGGATTTGGTTGCTTTCTAAATGCAGTTCTTCTAAATTGCTTAACCCACTAAACGACAAACTGGTTAATGTCTTTAAGTCATTGTTTTCTAAAAACAGGCCATTTAAATTCTCCAAACCTTCGAATAAATTGGACTGACATATCGAAATTTTGTTGTGAGACAATTTTAAGGTTGTCAATGATGATAGATAACGGAAAATGCCGGTCTTCAGGTGCGAAATATTGTTGTTATCCAAAAATAAAATATTTAAGTTGTACAGAGATAGAAACGCGTCATGTTCTATGGTTTTCAGGTGAAGATTCGACAAGTCTAAGCTCTGTAATCTCGTTAAACCGTAAAATGTTTCGTTCCTTAAAATTTTAACATGTTTGAACAGTGTCTGAGAATCCAAGAAGTTTAGATTAAAAAGACCGTTGAGGGCTCTGCCTTGCACAGAATAAACGTTTGTATTAGGAAAGTGCAGCTCGTTTAAATTGAATGAACCCATGAACGAATCTTTCTGCAGTTCTACTATGTCTGAATTTTTTATAAACAATTTTCTTAGATACACGTTTGGGATACTTTTAGTTTGAACCACCCCTGTAAAAGTTATACTCAGTTCCTCTAGCTGAAGACCGTTATCGAAGGCGCTTGTATTTTTTATACTGTTCCCATCCAAGTCGATTGTCTTGAGGTTTGGTAGTTCATGAAAGAGATTTTCTGGAAGTACAAACATTTCATTGTTGCTTAAATCTACGAACTCAAGGTTGGGTAAATTGTCGAACGATAGCGGCTCTAAATTGGAGATATGCAATCCATTAAGATAAATTTGCTCTAGTTGATTTAATTTATGAAAAGCTCTGGATTGTATGTTTCTTATATTGTTTTCTTTTAAGTTTAGAAATCTTACTGGTAGATCATCAAATGAAAAACTTTCTAAGACACTAATTCCATTTCTACTAAGATCTATTGTCTCGATACTAGGCAAAAGATGAAAGGATCTTTTCGATAAATTTGAAATGCCACAATTTGAGAGATTTAGGATATTTAAATTGTATAAGTTATAAAAAGCTTTGCTATGTACAAAGGTGATTTTGTTGCCATTTAAATGTATATTACGCACAGTTAAATTGGAAAAAACGTAACTTTTTATTTCTGTCAAATTGTTATGACTTAAATCTATACTCTTCAGACTATTCAAATCGAAAAATGCACTTTCGTGTATCTGTTCAATACCTAAATTTGAAAGGTTAAGATCTTCTAAGTAAGATAATTTATTAAAAGTTTTATAACCTATGGAACGAATTCTGTTTCCCTGCAAATATATATTTCGGACAGATAAGTGTGAAAATGTACCACTTCTTAGAACCGTCAAATTGTTGTTACTTAAATCTAAATCTATTAAACTGTTTATATTCGAAAAAGCATTTTCGTCCAAGGTTTCAATACCGACGTTGGAAAGGTTTAAAAGTTGAAGATAACGAATATTATTAAATGCTTTGTAACCTATCGATTTAATTTTGTTTCCCTGCAGTTTTATGCTTTCTACAGACAAGTCAGAAAATGTGTGGTTTTGTAAAAGCGTCAAATTATTATTACGCAGATCAATAAAATCCAAGCCTTCCAAATTTGAGAATGCATATTCCTCCATATTTTCAATACCAAAGCTAGAAAGGTTAATAGATCGTATGTGAGTTAAGTTACTAAAAGCTTTGTAGCCAACGGACTTAATTGGATTCCCAAATAATTCTATGTTTTGAACAGGTAGATCGGAAAAAGTAAGGTTGCTTAAAACTCTCACATTGTTGTTTTTTAAATCTAAAAACTCTAAACTGCCTAAACTGGTGAACGCAGTTCCGTCTAAATCTGTAATGCCGGATGTAGAAAGATTTAATATTCGCAAATTTGGAAGGTTATTAATGGAGCTACTTTCAACAGATTTTATATTATTTCCCGTAAGTTCCAATGTTGTTAACGGCAGATCGTTAAATGAACTACTAAGTAATCTTGACAATTTATTTTCTCTTAAATCTAGTGTTGTCAATTCATTTAGCCCATAAAATGCATCTGGTTCAATAACCTGTATTGAGGAATAGGATAAATTTAAAGAACGTAGAGAAATACAACCAAGAAATGCATTTCTATTTATCTTATTTATCAAATTAAATGACAGATCTATTTCATTAACTGTTACACTGTTCCAAATATAGTCAACGACTGTTAATTTGTTCCCTCTTAAATTAATTGAGTTTGCTTCTAAGTCATAAAAAGCGTAGGCTTCTATGAGAGTAATATTGGAAAAAGACAGATCTAGTTTACGAATATAACTTCCAGAAAATGCATTATTGCTCAAATTCTCCAAATTATTGAAGCTCAGGTTTACTAAAGGGAATCTTGATTCCGAAAAATAATATGCCTCGATTTTTGATATGGATGAATTTGAAAAATCTATCTTAGGTTTTTCTTCATAATTCCATGAATTTGCTTTTACATTATTTATATTTATTGTACCTGTGTTCAATACAGGTATTATGTTGTCTTTCAAAGTTAGTACATCTGTGATGTACATGGTGTTGATAAATATGCCACGAGATGTGAGGGGCAACGGGAAAATTGATTGTGTTAGTTCAAGATTTTTTACCCTAAAGTTGTCAGATTTTATAGAATTTACTTGATTGTGACTTATTTTTACGCTGTAATCTGTATTCTCATAACTTTTTAAGGTAATGCTATTTAACGTATTATCATTAAGATTTAATGAACGGAAAAAGCAGTTTAATTCCACCTCATTAAATTCGCTAATTTTATTACTACTTAAATTAGCGTATAAAAAAAGTCGTTGTTGATAAGAAGGCAGCAGTTCGCTAATCAAATTATAACTAAAATCGATACGACTCATTACCAAAACATTGAAATCCAACTCTTTGAGGTAGTTGTGACTCAAATTTAAGTATTCCAGACTTGTTGGCAGCACAAACGCCATGTCGCTGATTTTGTTGCAGCTCAGGTCCAGTTCCTTGATCTGGTCAAGTTCCTCGAAGGCATACTCCTTTACCAGGCGTACGAAAGAATTTATAATTGCCAGTTTGGTTATTACAGCGGTTCCATGTTGCAATGGCGGGTTGATGATTTTTTCTATAACTGAGTAATTAGAGTTGACGATTTGTACTTCGTAGTTCTCGTTTCTATAACGTAATGGAATATAATTCATGTGGAAATGGTACATGAAATCATATTCGTCGGTGCCATCACAGAAAAATTTTCCGGGATGAAAACTGCATTGCATCCCCAGACTGGTGGTAGCAGCGAAGAATAATATAAACAGATGAAATATTCTTGTTCTGAAACAGAAAAATAAAAAAATTGTAGACATTATGAATAGCTGAAAAAAGCAGATCTAAAGAAAGACTGTTTTATATGAATTTTTAAAGGTGATTTGTATGTAAATTAAAGTTATATGTATTTCGGTTTAGAAAATATTAATTTTTGCTCCACACATGTTAATAATTTAAGGATTATTCGAGTTCAAAATACCACCATCTCCTAAAAAATATTAGAGTCTAAAGCAAAGCTAATTCTAAAGGTTATTTTTTATTTTATGGAACAGAATTGACTAAAGTAAAATTCTATGTAAAGTGTCGCTAATAATTGTAAGTGCAGAAAAATTTAAACCATGTGAAACAACAAACACATTTAAAGTTATTTAGCAAATTTACAAGACGATTTAGAACCATTTTTACAGAGTATCACGTTGCATATCAATGACATTTGTAAATCATCTAGAAAATAACTTTAGATACTTTTTTGAAGAGAAAAGGTTCGGATAAACATTTCTTTTCATCTGTTTTTCGTATATCAAGATAGAAAATTCTTGAAAAGTAATTTCCAACTGATAATATCTCAAAACCCGTTGGCGCTAAATCAGGGGTATGTTTCTAAGAAAAAAAAGCATCTAATAGTAAATAAATAGTAACAAGTACAGATATTATATACCATGTGTTAAATATAAAATAAGATTTTTGTTTTAATAATTTTCGTCAACTATACATTTATACATGCGATTCATGTCGTCTACTAAAAATGAACTGCTTTTAGTGATGATTTTTAGTGAAAATTTCTACTTATGTAAAATTTTTCAAATACATAAAACGACTTACCTCATAATTAGCTCTCTGTCTAAACTCTTAAGCAAAAATCTTCTTATTCTTCTATCTTATTTATATTATTCCACAGGTCTGAAAAATTAGAAAAAAATATTTTTCAAATAAGTGATTGTGATGGTAGTTGTCTTAACAGTGTTAAAGTTTTATCTTATAATTAATATGTGCTCGAATATTTATCAAAATAACATTTTGCCAGGTAAAAACACCGCTTTGAAAAATTTGGTAGAGACTTAATAATGTAGAAAATGTTTTTCAAACAGCAATTAACAAAAATTTGTCAATTTTAAACTAGAAAATGAAATTTACTAACAATAATATTAATACTTTTTGCTGATATTAGTAATAGAAATTAACTTACCTTTTTTTGTTATGTTGCACAGAAACAAGCTTGTTACCGAATGCGCTGCAACTAAATTGGAGAACGATAAATGGTATATATAAATAATACTGTCTACAAAAATATTGCTGATAAAGATATGATGATTATGTACTTTAACCGTACCACAGTTATGTGCTTCCCCGATATACCTTGTTACAGTATAGCAGCCCAAAGAAATTACGCTTAGGCAGTATTAAATCACTATTATTTGAAATACTTTTAAAATAATATTGTAATCTTAGTATATACACGAAAATTCGTTATTGATTTTTGTGATATGTTGTGATAGTAGCATATTAGCAAAAATGTAATAATTGATATTACAGAAAAACATTTGAAATTTTGAATAATTTTTTTATGAAAAACTTACGCTTGTCATTTGAAAATATAACAGATCTATGGTTTGTCATAAGTTTTATCACTGTTTGACTTATAGATTTAATAAGTACGATTTTATTTTGTGAATGACAAAAATAACTAATATCTCTGTCTAATTTCCCCGCTAAACATTACGATTTACGAATTAGTTGGGATCATTAAACCTTAGGCTTTGTAGGACATTTTCTGAATATCATTTTTGTTAAAAATTACTATAATATGTGCATTTATTCAAGTAATTCAATTTGACAGGATGCTCCAGGAAAAATGTTTATGATTTATATAAATTAGTTGAATATTTTTATAATAAAGTAAAAGTGGGTAACTATGTAACAGTGATGCAATGATTTATATTTGACCTTGAATATGTTTAACTTCACAAGATAAAACTGAAATTGTAAATACTATTTGATTTGAATATTATACATATACTTTATTTTTCAAACTGATTGATAAAGTTTTATTAAAAAAGTTAATTACAACATATATGAAACCACATTTGAGCATTGCAATACAGATTAAGCCTTTATTGGAAAATATACTGATCATATTTATAAAAGGTATTGAAAAAAATACATTTTGTTTAATTAGTTTAAAACAGAGTAAAAAAACACGAGAGCTAAAAATAGGAGTAAGTACATGTTTTTTAAAAAATGTTCTGAGATGATGTCAATAAGTTTTTTTTTAAGTAATTTATATCGGTTTGTTTAGTTTTATGAGTTAGTATGCGCATACATTCATTAAAATGATTCGAAGCACTATTTAGACTAATTAGAAGTTGTTAACATACAGCTGCAGTGAAATATAAACTGATTGAATATTTAGTGACAAGAGTGCTTCTACAATCGTTAAAAATGTAAGTACTCCACTTTTTTTTTACTAAATATTTATTTAAAACTGTATTAATTACAATAATTTTATATTAGCTTTTAATTACACAACTTATTGAACATTGTTCAACATGAATCACTAAACAATTATTTAATTTAATTCAAGGGGAAAAATATTTTTGAAATAATTAATCCTTACAAATTGTATTTTATTATTTTATAATTCTTACCTGGTATACAGGGTGTTTGTAAATAAGTGCGAAATATTTAGGGGGTGGTTGCCGAAGTTATTTTGTGAAAAAGAGTTCAGAGATACAAAGTGCTTTTTAATTTTTTATTTATTTTTATTAATTATTTCAAAGAGTTTTAAAGATATTGACTCGAAATTTGAAAAACGCTTTGGAGGGATTAATGCGCATTTTTTGGAGTGATCCGAATATTTCTACTTGCACCAGTGGCGTTCGTGCGAGAATACCACAACCTTTTTTAATAAAAAAATGAAACGCCACTGACTTTTTCCAGTTTATATATTTTTTTAGAAATCCTCCATCAATTATGAATGAAATTGGTCACTCCAATTTTTTTCGTAGGATGCACCGTTTTTGAGGAAAAAAATAAAACATGTTTCATTGCAAGTTGTGTATTTTTAATTTTTTAATTTCTATTTATACATTATCTAGAAGGTTGCTGTTAATATTTTTAAATAAAATACAACCATCAGATTTCGAGTGAATATCTTTAAAACTCTTTGACATAATTAATAAAAATAAATAAAAAAAAATTAAAATTTAAACACTCTGTGTCTTGGAAAATATTTCGGACTTTTACAAACACTAAGACAAAAGTTACAGAATTTTGTATTATATATTTTCCAATCAACATTTCTTTTAACTTTTGTTATTCTTTTTATTTCTTTTGTTATTTTTGGCAGTAACTCATTCTATACTTTATTTCAAAGTATATAAGAAAACGTTATTTTCTTCTAAAACTAATTAATTTATTATTAATTACCCAATTAATTAATTATTACTAATTATACAAGAAATATTCAAGCAAAGGGAAAGAAATACAGTTGACACATCATTAACTTTATATTTCAGGAACGTGAAGGCAATTCTTACATTCTTGACCTTTGCTCTAAATCCGTTTTTCGTCAAAGGGTACTGCATACTTACAACAATGGAATTGTCCTGTAGAGATACAAACTACACAAATTTCATACAAGCTTTTTACGCGCAGTCATGTAAGACAGATAATATATCTTCATCTCTAACAATTACTTTGGAGGACTCAATTTTCTACCAAATAAAACACTTTCCCAACTTGCCTTTATCTGTACAAAACTCCACGACAACGTGTCTAACTATAAAAAGTTCTTCAGTGGAAAGTATAGATAATAAAGCGTTCCAAGAACTTACTGATCTGAGACGTCTAGATCTAAGTTACAACAAATTACACAATATTCTTTTCGTCCACGGTTTGTCGCCTGTTTTGGAGGTGTTGATTCTAAACAACAACAACATCAGCTACGTAGACGAGGTGTTTGGAACCCTCAAACACCTCCTACGTTTGGATCTCAGCTACAACCGAATTTCAATCTTAGATTTTTGCAGAGTCTTTCGAGTGCAGCATCTAAATTTTACTCATAACAGAATCGAAACCTTAATTCCGTCGAAAGAATCTTTTAAAATATATGAATTAGACCTGAGCCACAACAAAATCACAGCTTTTAGTGAACTTGAATTAAATTTAGCGTTTCACTTGTTAAATCTTAGCCACAACGAACTGAAGTCTCTTGTGCTACTTCGGAACGATAAAAAGTTTCTTGGTCTCTCTGCAACTAATGTCAGCCACTTAAGAGTAAATAAAATTGTAAAAATAGACGAGTTGGATCTATCATCGTCTACAACTTTTTTGGACTTTGGTAACATTAACATTATACCTACACAACACTTGTTTCTAAAGAATAGTAAAATAGAAGTTTTAAACAGATCAACGTTAAACATCTTTGATAACTTTTTTAAATTTTGGCCATACGAGCCTAGGATAGACTTGTCAAATTCCTCTGTGAAGGACATATCCCCACACTACTTCAAAAACCTTCGAACTTTTTCTCTAAATCTAAGCAGCAATCATATAGCTCTGATAAAGAACAAAGTATTCCTGAATTCATCAATAAGGATTTTAGACCTCTCTAGTTCTAATATAGAAATAATTGAGTGCTCAGCATTTGAAAATTTGGTGGCTGAAGTGATACGCTTGAAAGGAAATAAGTTAGAAATCGTCAATGATATTTTTGATGGGGTCAACGTAAAGGAACTGGACTTATCGTTTAATTTATTCAAGGTCATGAAGAACCACTCGTTTGTTAACTGTCGTGGTCTAGTCTTCTTAAATTTGGAGCGTTGCCTTATTGAAAGGATTGAACCAGAAGCTTTCCTAGATTTAAATGAACTACAACATTTAACACTAGCCTACAACAAGCTTCTTATTTTAGAAGCGAATAGTTTCAACAATTTGCCGATTAGAAGACTCATCTTGAAGGGGAATAAAATTGATACTATCCGGAACAATGCTTTCACTAATCTAAGTAACTTGAAGGAATTGAATTTGTCTAAACTGGGCTTGCGTAACGTAGAATCATACGCTTTTTACAACTTATCTCGCGTTGAAACGATTGACTTGAGTTACAATAATATAGCTATAATTCCCCATTACTTGTTTATCGATGTGGACAACCTAAGGACTGTCCGTCTTGAAGGGAACCATATTACCACCTTAAACCCTTTCTCAAGTCGGCTGAAATTGAATACCCTTTCCATAACCCTCAAAGGAATCTTTAAATCCAGTCAGATCTTGAATTCTAACATCAGATACCTTCATATAAAAGACTCAAAAATCGATGTTTTGCAGAGCAATTTCTTCGATGGTCTTTACAACCTAATGGAACTTCACTTCAGTAATAGTCACTCGTATGTGGCGACTGGTGCTTTAAACAATCTTTTCAAATTGAAATATTTAGACTCCCAGTCGTTATTTAAACATATGAAAACTATAAAGCAACACACTTTTAAGGATTTGTTGTCTTTAGGGCACCTGGATCTTTCGAGGCTTTCTTTGCTGCATCTAGAGGAAAAAGCTTTTGATGGTATGACAAAGCTTCAAACCTTGCTGTTGAATAACAACAATTTGACTGAATTGCAAGGAGATACTTTCTACGGTTTGGAGTCTTTGAAAACCTTAGATTTATCTAGTTCTAATATTGGTATGTGTGATGATAAATCATTCGTTGGATTGAAGTCTTTGGAGGTTCTATACTTGCAAAATAACAGTTTAACTGCTATTGAATCCCAATTGGTATTTGGAAGCCTGAGCAGTTTGTTGGATCTCCATTTGGAACACAACAATATTTCTTCAATAGACATGAAATCATTTTCTGGTCTGAAGAAACTGTTACGTCTACATTTACAAGGGAATAACTTGGAGGATATACCTATAGGAGCTTTCCAATATTTAACAACGCTGAAAGATTTAAATTTAAGCAACAACTTGATACAACTTTTAAAAACCGGCGCTCTTTCGAATTTGCAGAGCTTGGAATCGTTGGATTTGTCTGATAATGAGTTGGTTAATCTGGATTATGTGGATATATTCTTTTCATTGAAGCAATTACAGACCGTCCGTTTCGATGGAAATCACCTGAAACAGTTCGATTTTAGAAGGTTTCTGGTAAATTTGAAGAAAATCAAGTACGTAGGAATATCTTACAACAAGTGGAAATGCGATACTCTCTCTTATATGATAGAAAGTTTTAATAACAGGAGTATCGGATACAAGCCAGATAGACCGGTGTTCGATAACGATAATATAGACGGTGTAGGGTGTGTAGATTTATGCAAATTTGTGTATTGCCCTCCCGAAATTGTTGAACAGACCTTACATAATTATTAACGTGTCATAGATTAACCATATATTTTTATTTTTGCATACTTTCCACCGCACTTAATGTTTTTAATTGGAATTAATGAATGAATTAGAGCAGGTGGATGTAAATGTATCTATTTTTTTGTAATAAAACAGTTTTCCTTTTTCTTTTCTATTTAATTAGATTCTATTACAAAATATTAAATAAGTGAAACAAACTTAGAAGACAGACGTTATATATTATGACTGCTTTAGTTGCGCCATCTATTAATAAGAAGCTCAGTTTAAAATATATTATTGTTGTTTTGTAGTATTATTAGTACTTTTAAAATTCGGCTGAAAAATTAAAATCGGACCACCTCCAACGCATCCAGAAATATTGCGAAATAGTGCACCAAAAAATTAAAATTCCAATTGTGCAAAAACTAATTATCCGACAATGCCTGCTTTTCTGCTGTTTTTCTGGGTTTTCTTCGTTTCTAATTATCCGATCGGATTGATCGACCTCTCGTTTTATTCGTAATTCGGTTATCTACAAATTGTCTATAGCAATCAGATTGCTTCGTTAGTTTAGGTTTTATAACCAAAAAAACTAAAAAAAATACGTTTTTTGCATACAAATGTTTATAAAAAATTAATTAAAGGTAAATTGGAGTCGGAAACAGGAACGGATTTTTGAGGACCTATTTAAGGGGGCGTAGCTCCAATGTTTATATGAGAAAAATACTATTTTTGGCAATAAAATCAAGTGGTAAATTATTGGACACTAATTATGAAATAAATTATTTGAACTGGAAATAATGAGTATTACTTTTATTTAGCCTGTTTGAAAATTTACAATTGCTTGTACTATCATTACAAATTTAATAACAAATTTCGTTTTATGGATTAAAAAAATGACATTTCATTATAATTTACATTGCAAAATAAAAATTTTTCAGCAGCAGAATACGCGTAATATGTCAGTGTCAATATTTTCGAGAAAAGTTTTTTCCTATTTGTCAGTGTGTACCAAAAGTTTGGTCCGTAATTACGCGAGAGCTCCAAAGAAGCCTGCCCCGCGCATGAAAAAGGACAGTAAGTCAGAAGAAGTTGCAGATGATCAAAGTACCACCAGAGAAGGTCTAAATGCGTTACAGCAGGTATCTAAGAGGATACTAAGCTACGGAGGACAGGGTAAAAAACAGAGACACGTGCAGTTAAAGAAAAAACGTATGCGGAGAAGGATAAAAGGAGATAAGAAAAAATAGTGTGTAATTAGGGACTTCTGTTTCGAAGTAAATAATAAACCTAAAAGTTTATTTTTGTCTGATTGAAAAGAACGTTTTCAGAGTAAACCAATTTTTTTTAACATATCCCAACTGCTTTGTGTCTGTACCTCTATCTTTGTGTCATGTCAATGTCACTTCTCACGAGCATTAGATGCATTTATTTTAATTTTATAATCCATAACAAAAGCTTGCCATGTAGTTACCCCAAAATATTAAATCCTTTGCTACAAATAAAGAAAGAGAGTAAGGAGGAAATTACGGATTATCGAAATAGGGCCAGATCTGCTCTAAGGAGGATGAAGCAGCGGCTGAAAGAGATCCAGGCCTATGGATACGGCGAAAAACGCAGGTACATGATATCAAGCCTTCTACGCATCAAGAGAATGTTAAACAAGAAAAAGTAAATATGCTGTAGCAGATCTTGCCGATTCATCCTAATTTCTAAGTCAGTTGTTAACATAAATAAAATAAAATCTCCTTAAATATAATTTACTTCGTCATTAACTGGGGCGTACTCTTTGTCCTTGTGCTTGAGAATTATTTCCCTAATCTCCAGGACAAGCAAAAGTATGCCGGTTACAATTATTATGAAAAGGAATATTTTGAAATAGAAGTAGTTTAAAATGACGTACTCTGTCCCGTTTATATTGTAAACTAACTTATACGGGTCATATTCCGACGAGTACACGATTATTATAGTCGTACTGGAGATTCCGTAGAACTCGCTGTGAACCTCCAGAGTTATGGTGTCGTAGAGTACTTCGCTTGGATTGACATTTTCTCTCACGAATGCGGAAAAACAAATGGAACAGTTATAGTTACAGCCTGGGCCGATGTCGGGCACTGTGAAATATTTACCCTCATCTGCAAAAAATGGGTGAGTTATTTTATCATTCTGTGATTGCAAAAATGGTAATTTAAGTCAAGTTAAACGAATAAAATTGCTGCTCTGAGCTTGAAGAATAAATTTTATGTTTACCTGCAATCGCTACTACGTTGAAGTTATATGGATAGCAATTTTGTAGAGTTATTGGTCCATCTAACAGTTCGATGGCACGGTCGACAACTTTTGCCCTGTACACAGATTTTTCAAAGTAAATTGGAGGGCCTAAAATCCCATAGTCTTCATAATCCACCTGTAAGTAATATTTTCACTTGAATTATTTCCGATGGACGAGTCGCAGGCGAGGGAAAATTTTCTAGAAAAATGCGCGATTGAGGAAAAATTTCCGGACATTAATTCAAGGACGTGGGGATTTGGTAAGAAAATTTTACAACAAAAATTTATTTAAAAAATTTGACATGTTTCATTTTGAAACTTATTTCGCCAAAATAAAATTGGCTTGACAGGTAGACATTGTTTGTGGTGCATGACATATTTTTTTCTTCTTAAACGTCACATAATTTAATCGCATTTCACGCGTTTTTTTACATTCAAAAATGGCTCGTTTTGGAAATGAAAATTCCGAAAACATAAAAACAACACGTTCCTTTCACTTTAGTAATAAATCAGACATTTAATTTTTGAATTCAAATATTTACCTTTGCAATACAATTCACTTAGTATTACTAAAATAGAAGGAAAGTAAGTTTTTGTAGAAGAGTGATGTCAATAGCAGTTTATCAATGATTCTTAAAAAATCATAACTGCAATCAAGTAGGCTTAGGCTTGTGATGTCAAAATCGTCTGCGCTATACGTCACGTAGACAGTCATTTTCTCTAGCTTCTAATTGCTTACAATTAAATCATGGCAGTGAACAAACAAAAAACTAATTTAAAACTTTATAGTATATGTAATTCTTGCACCAAAATAGGGGACATTCTTATGTCTCATAACAATTTAAAGTATTTGCCATATTTACTGAAAAAACTGGAATCAGTCCGCATCAAGAAAACCTTTTCGCAGCTATTCAAAAGATTTTGGAGGAAGATTTTTTTGTGCTAAAAAAATAGAGCTTTCTTATGCCATTTTCATTGAGACAGGGTATTAATGTCACAATTAAAAAAAATATATGGACAGCGTGATTCCTTAGACATTCAGTGAAAATTTCGCACATCTTGCGTCGACCTAAGCATTTTTTATGAGGTTTTAATAAAAAAGAAAGAAACTTCGACACAGATTATTTTAGTGTTTTACAATTAGATGAAAAACTTAACGAATTAAAATGGATAAATAGAAAGGTATTTAGTAATCACTTTTGTTATCGGCTCAATAATAATGACAGATTTGGGACTGACTTATCAGTGCTAAGAAAACAAAACAAAAAACTTCCTTAACAGCCAATTGAACAACAATCGGAATCAAAGGCGGAATTTGGCCTTTGTTATCACTTTTGTTTTATTATTTAAACAACAAACCATTCTAATATAATTTCCTTATCATTCATTCATATTTGAGAAAATAACGAATAAAAGCCAATAAATAATACAATTCTAGTATGAACAATTTGGGTTTGCTTGTACTTTTTTATACAATTGGATAGAAAGTATGATAAATAAAAAACAACTATCGAAGTGGTAATATTAAAAAAAACAAATAACTAAAAAGGAAATTTGCTATGGGGGTTAATTAAAATCGATTCGTTCTTATTTAGACGCTTTCTTTAAAGTAGGAAAAGCTTATTAAAAAACTGTACTTACTGTTGATGCTAAGGAAATTCCCACAGTCGTTAAAAAAATGTAGAACAACATTTCGACTGTACAATTTGGCACCGAAAATAGAATAGCCATTGTCGATAATGACAGATAAAGATTATCTAATCTCGGATAAGGTGAATATGAAGCTGATAAGATTTCACATTTTTGATTCGGTACATAAAAATTTCTGTATTGCTGTAAATATCTTGTTATTCTAGTACTCTCTTTCTATATATCTCTCTATTATTAACAATATTACTTGGAAAAAGCAATTTCGATAATTTTTATGGAAAATGAAGAGTACCTACTTTATATTTGACAATATGTGTGTATGTGTTTGATAAATATATATATGTAGATGCAATAATACAAATGGATAAGTCATTTTCTCTTAGTTCCAATATTGAAATGGTAATAAATACAAGGTGTGCAATTGAAGTTTTCGTCTACCTACTTTTATAATCGTAGGATTCAGTAAATATAAAGTTTAAAATACATTCGTATATTTAAGAAAATATCACGTTGACTAGGTCATAAAGCAAGTTAGGGTCGAAACAAATTCACAGTGAATACTGTAGACACTGCGTGTCCCTTTTCTAGAAACTATCCCAAAAATACTCTCTGTATTCAGGGTTCTACAATAAGTAGTAGTACTTTGCTGCAATTTTCTTGAAGATAAATATCATTTTGATGCATATACTCCTAATGTTGTTTCGCATGTTTTAAACAAAGAAGTGCAATGGTACTTTGGTATTGTACTGATCGTTAGACTATTATCTATTTATTGGGACAATATACCTCAATAGCTGTAATCAGTCATCTATATCTAGTTTATAATTACGTTATTTTGCAGTTGGCATCTCTCTATTTGATGACGAATATTTTGAAGAAAGAATATATTAAGAAAAAGCATACTTGACGGGAATTTATACTAATCCTCCCTAGAATCCACTGTAGTACTACTACTTTAATAAATATTAGACACAGTAGATATTTACTTACACGTATTAATATTACTTCAGTATGCCACCCCTACGCAAACATTAGGGTAATTGAATATAGTTATTAATATTTTCCACGCAGTCATGAAGAACTTCCTGCGGGTTCAAATCATGGCACTGACACGCTATTTAAAACGAAGCAGTATCATGCCTAAACGCAGCGAAAGTTACCCATGCCTGTGTGAAATCTCCAAACATATTCTGGTTTTGGCGCGCACAGCAGGAATCCTGCCTATAAGGTCCCTGCCGGGAAAAGGCGTAAGGGGCTGTTCTTTCGCAACGTCGAATTATGTGATTGCTTATTCCGTTGTTCTCCAGATTGTTTATTTTGCGTATTTTTTCTTTGTCTACTCAATCCGGTGGTACTGTTCACAGGACAAATCCTACAAAGACACTGACTGGTGAGTAAGACAAGAAACCAGTTTTTTTAGTGTTCTGTTTGTGTCAAAAACTGGTGGTAAAAAATATACAACTGTAGCAAAATTTCTCCAATTTTTGTACCAAAAAATCATGAATGTTTATCGAATAAATGACTAGTGGCTAGTTCTTAAGCAGAACACTCTATATGTATAAAAAAATCAAGTTTTTGGCTATACTTGTATAACCCTCATTTTTAAGGTATTTAATGACAATGGGTTATTTTATTACTGATTTGGATTCCATGGTAACATTACTAATAGGAGTGATGAGAAGTAAAAGGGTGTGCAGAATCCTCGAAAAACTTTCCAAATTGGACAGCTCCATAGCCAAAGACAAAGAACTAAAAACCAACGTAACTCGCGTTACATTGCTGGTCCTGCTGTATCTTGGTGTAAAAATTGGTTCATTCCTCCACAGCGCGCTTTTCCTGTCAACCTTTAAGTCAGGCCTATTCTCAATGAGCTGCTCTTGTTTAGGTAAATTGTTTTTATACAAATTAGCGTCACGTTGCATCTAAAATAACGTTTGTAGGATCTCCCATTGCTGTATTGGTCAGAGGAATTACAGTAGTCTTTCCAACGGTAGAGATTGCCATAGTGTATATGTTTGTGGTACTAGTCGAAGCAAAATTTGAATATCTGGCTGAATCGGTGGCCATCACAATTGAGAATATGGGTGGTGAGAAAGATTCTTGTGGTCTTATCTACATCAAGACACCGACCGCGAAGAAGGAGACTCAGGTAAAGAAAGAGGATATATCGGAGAAGGTAAATACAGGGCTACCACAACAGATAAATGATGAACTTTCTTTTGTAGTCTCTAGACCGTCTAGCTGTTATGCACTTGGAGATATTCAGTGTAGTGAGCGAAATAAATTATTGCACTGGGTTCCAGCTTCTCATAGGACATTGCTCTAGTCTGTACACCATGATTTATTATCTCTATCGCTACATTACCTTCACCATAGACAGATACACGACCAGAAGCTCAAGACTCTACTACGTTCCGTCACTCTTCTACAGATTAGTAAAAATCATCGGGTACATGATTTTGGGACAGCGCTTTCACACGAAAGTAAGTACAGAATTTACTTCTACTTGTTAGAAACTGTATGTGTATGCTATTATTATTACGAAATTATTGCTGTATCATCCTGGAAATTCTTATTTTCAGAGTCTTCTTCCTCTTAAGACTCTACAGAGAATTCGCATAACAAATTTACCTTCCCATGTTCAACAACAGGTTAGTGATTTTATAACTGCTTGCTCAATTTTAGTAATATGGTATATACGTATTTCTTTCAGATACAGACACTGATGATGCAATGGAATGATAAAAAAGCTTATTTAACAGCATGGGGGATTGTCAACTTTGGCCCTTGGCTTCTTGCCCCAGTGAGCATGTTTAATTGATACTATACTATACTATTCTTAATATTATACATTTAAAATTCATTTATCCAACACTTGTATATAATGATACTATAATTTCTTTGGTTTTAAAGGAATAATGTGGCCTATAAGTCACTAGTGAGTTATAAGTCATAAGTCACTAGCAAGTTATAACTTATAACCCACTAGTAACTTATAGAGGTCATCAAAATGTTTGGTTTATTTTTCTAGTTTTTATTAGAAAACCAATTTGAAATAGTAATACTAACAAATAACCTAACATGCTACAAACTTACAATTTACCTACTTATATAACATTAACATTGGTTGAAAACGTTTGTGCTTAGATTTTAGAAATGCCACTAGTCTTCCGAATTTAGAAATTTCAGTGTTCTTGTAAACTCTCAAAGTTGACTTCAATATGGAATATTTAGTCCACAATGTGGATGGAGCTAATTTCTCACTTAAATTGAAAAAATAAACCAGCAAGACATCTTCATTTACACCTTTCACCCCTTCTTTGATTTTCCAATCTTGAGATTCCTTCAGTTCTTTGTTGTATATAGTATTGTATTTTGACATCTCCGGAATGATGCCTGCAGTAGCCGCATTAGCTTTTTCTAAAATTTCAGATCGCCACAAAAGTGACACTTTTAATTCTAATAAAACAATATACTGTTTTTTACAATGACAGATGATTGATTAAACTCTCTCTTTTTTAGATAGCTGGAAATATTATTACATATCTACTAGTAGCACTGCAGTTTGATGATACATCAATAGAGGATGCCAATGCGACGTTAGCTATGCAATCTATGATATAATATGTTTAAATTATATTTCGAAAGTTATCTTTTCCTCTCTTTCACACCAGAGCAATGTATTTGAATGTGTATCACAGTTTCGAACAAACAAATAAATTTAAAGAGTTGTTTTTGTGGCACTTAAATTTTCCTAAATCCCAAAATGAATGAAGTATTATAGGTATATCAATATTTGTCATTTATTGTATTAACATTGGCATAATTAATTTCGTTTGAGATAAATTTTATTTGACTGTTTTGACAGAATCAGTCAAGAATCAATGTCAAAATTTTTAGTGTCCAGGAATACGCAATGAATTGAATTTAGTATTAATTACAAGAAAACTATTCAAAATTAATATGTGGAATATAAAATAACCTTCAAATTATGAGCCTTTCACTTCTAAAACTGTCGAGCACCAGAGTCCTGACCAAAAACTTCTTAAAAACCCTAACCAGAAGGCCATTCTCATTCGAAAATTCTCCCCAGGAGAGAAAAATTCGACAGATCAATCTCCTCGGGACAGCAGGTATTGCAACTATTCTAGTAACGTCTTACTTTCTGATCAAGAAAGGAGGTCAAGATGAGAAAAATACATCAGCCACCCTCCAAGAAACGAATAAGGGCAAGATCAACAAATTGCTCGAAGGCACTTCTTCAATGAAAGTCATCGATCCCAGAGACAAAGAATACACGATCAGGGAGAAGTACAACTTCATAAACAAGGTGGTGAAGCAGTGCGCGCCAGCTGTGTTCTATCTAGAAATCCGGGATCCTTACAGGAAAGACTTGGAGACGGGTGAACCCATCATAACATCGAACGGTTCGGGTTTCGTGATAAGCGAGGACGGGTGGGCCCTTACCAACGCCCATGTGGTGCTGAATAAGCCTCAGTCCACCATAACAGCGGTCATGAGGGATGGTTCATCGTATAAAGTGAACGTAGAAGATGCTGATATGAATCTTGATCTTGCGCTGCTGAAACTGGAGTGTCCGGGGAAGTTACCAAGCCTTCAGTTTGCGAAACCTGGAGATACCATGGTTGGAGAATGGGTTATAGCTTTGGGAAGTCCCTTATCTCTGAGTAACTCGGTCACTGTTGGCATTGTAAGTATATTTTTTTAGATGCATGCCTTCACAAAATAATTGAGTACCTATAAGGTACTAAAAAGTAGGTCATTATTATCGTCATCGTAGGACGTCATTTGATTGGAAGCAGTTGCTGTTTTTCATCCACTTTATAATACCCCAAATTATTTGGAGCCTTACGGCATCTGTGGAAACCGAATATTGATTTATAAATTTCAGTCTCTAGACGACTGTGGATAACACAACACTTTGTGCTTTCCTCCGCTAGATGGGAGTGCATTGAATTTACGTTTCTTGTATTAGCTGAACTATCTTAATAGTTCAATAATAGATAAATAAGATCATCTTTAGGTAACGTTATTCTTTCTTTGAAGTACATTGAAGACTCAAAAATTGAAGATATGAGTAGAAATTAAGAATACCTTTTTTTCGGAGAAGTTAAGATTCATCAAAGATAAGATATAATTTAACTGAACAAATGTGTATTTGTAAAGTTTATATAAATGTTACTGTTTTTTCAGATGGTAAATAATTTGAGCGAAAGCTGTTACACGTTTTGTCCAATATCATTGCTTTTTTATCGATTTCAGGTGAGCTGTGTGAACAGGCCGGCGGAAGACTTGGGATTGAGGAATTTCTCGATGACATACATCCAGACCGACGCCTCGATCACGTTCGGAAACTCGGGTGGGCCCCTGGTGAATTTAGACGGCGATGTCATCGGAATTAACAACCTCCGGTTGACTTCCGGTATTTCCTTCGCCATTCCCGTGGGTAAGTCTGCAATTTTTAAATCGCCTCGACCAAATGTACAACGTGGACCGATTCTGGTATACACGTTCTTCAGAATAAGTTCTTTATTTTAATTTATGATTGCGTTTGATGCATCCACCATGAAAGTGTTGTTGATTTTGGAATGAAATCTTTATTTTTCAGAATATGTCAGGAAGTTTTTAGAGAACAGCAAGTACAGGGTCAAAGCTGGAAAAAACTCTGGAGTCCTGGGGAAGACCCTTTTTGGTATAACGACAATCTCCATCTCGACAGACCTCTTGACAGAAATCATGGAGGAGTTTAAGGTTATCCCAAATGACGTCAGCGAGGGCCTTTTCATCTGGAAAGTCCTAGAAGGGACTTTAGCGTCAGAGTAAGTGAAATAATAAAAAATAACCTTCATCTGGTATCGACTCGATGCTAGTTTTGTTGGCAAAAATTGTGTTAATGTCTTGGTACAGCAACTCCTATACTAATTGCAATTGAAAGAATGTGAAAACTTGTTGAAATGTTTATTTTAAGTTCATAAACTAATGTAACTTCTTAAGAATCCTTATTAAACAGAGTGTAATTAAAATGTTAATAAAGAGGCTTATTTCAAGTAAAGGGACTGAAATATACGTATTTTAACTACAAGAGGACAGTTGATCTGATTGCTTTAGTTTTTGTTGTCTGCAAATGTATGAGTACCATTGGGATCGCGGTTATCTTAAGAGATACAACGTCAAATTAGAGCAAAGTTACAGAATTTGATGACTTGGCGAAGGGAAATTTTATCTGAGACTCGGTTTAGAGATTTTTCAACTTCGACTCAATCTATAATTTTTTACAGATGTGGAATGGAAGTTGGAGATATTATAACTCACATCAACGGCATCGCTGTAAAAGATCCTTCAGAATTGTATCTTTTATCCAGTCCCAACGAGGACATTGAAATTAAATTGATACACAAGGGGCAGAAGAAGATTATAAAACTGCACACATAATACTCCTGCCGAGTGAATAAATTGACAATATTTTATATGATATGTTTCTGGAATATTTGTTAGATAAGTAAAATAAGCACGCATGCTGTAGTTTTTATTATTTGTTGTAAGTACTGTTTGCCAATATCAATTAATCAGTCGTTTTTAAAAAATATTGACGTTCAATAAAACAAGCTTGTGTCTGGATGTGGGTATTATAATTTTTCCTTATGCTGACATACTAGGTGACCTTAATTTTTTCTGTGAACCAAGTAACGAGCGTTCAAATAAAAACGTGGTCGAAGTTGGCTCTGACACATTGGACGTAGGGAGTAGCTTATAGCGACCAACTTAACCTCATTTCTCAACGAGCTGTATAGCAGCTGTCAGTTTCAATAACGTTAATGACTATATAACTTTATTTTAAAGAATAATCGTGATAACAATAACAAACAATTAAAGGAGCTGCGGAAAGTGTCCCCCTCCTTGTTATAACAATAAATTAAAGCAGCTGCTGAAAGTGTCCCCCTCCTTGTTCCAAGCACTTTTCACACCTGTTCCTCAAAGAATTAAAGACATTTTCTAAGATGCTCGGGGTATTGTTAATTTCACGAATCTTGTCTATAAGTCGAGCCTGCAGATGGTTTAAATCAGGAATAGGCAGTTCAAAAATAGTGTTTTTAAGGTAAGGCCACAAAAAGAAATCACACGGCGTAATATCACATGACCTCGGTGGAAATTCATGTTCAGCATTGAGACTTATTAGTCGATTTTGGAAAACTTCCCTCAACATATTCATCGTCTCGCCTGCCGTATGTGCCCTTGCGCCATCTTGTTGAAAGTAAAAGTTTGTAATTTCGTTTTCTTCCAGCTGGTTAACAAAAGGAGCGATAATTTCTTCTCTATACCTTTGCGCAGTAAGAGTACCATTAAAAAAAATAGGTCCATAAATCCTCCTTCGATTGAGAGCACACCAAACTCCAATTTTTTGAGCGTGTAGAGGGCCCTCGACAAAAAAGTTATCTGGTTTTTCAGAAGACCACATTCTCATATTCTGTGAGTTTACGTAACCACTTAAATGAAACCAGGCTTCATCAGAAAAAAAGGTGATATTATGAAGTTCACCGTAGTTGTTTAAAAACCATTCACAAAATACAGCCCGTCGCGGAAAATCAACTTCATGAAGTTCTTGCTGACAAGTTAAACGATAGGAGAACAAACGCAAATCTTTTTTTAACACTGTGTGGCAGGTACCGACTGATACTCCCACCATTTGTGATAAAACACGTACAGAAGTTCTTGGCGCATTTTCCATTATTTGTTGGACATTTTCTTTTAATTCTTCAGTCCGCTTTTTAGGTCGGCCGCTTCCTTCTTTTCTTGTTACACTGCCCGTTTCACGAAAAACATTAACACAACGCTGAACTGCACTTTGAAAAATTTTGTACTCAACAACGCCGGGAAATTGATTTTGAAATTCTATGAAACATTCCTCAATAGAATACTTCCATATTCCATCAATCTTGCGTCCATTTCTAAAGTAGGACTCTATGATAAACACTTTTTGTTCTTGAGAAAACACCATTTTAAACGCTTTTTAAAACGAAAATATTCAAATTGATAGCGGCGATATAGCGCTTTGACAGATGACGTTTAAGTTCATTTGCTATACGCTACGCCCTACGTCCAAATTTTCAGAACCAACTTGACCACGTTTTTATTTGAACGCTCGTTATATTATTTTTGTATCGAACAACTCTGCCACGGCCTCAATCTGGAAAAACTAAACCGCTGAAGTAAAATGTCAATCATCGGAAAACGTGCGGTAATAAAGCGAGTCCGATACACACTACTTTAAATTCCGCACAAAGTTTACTTGCGAAGAAGATAAAATATACATAAAGCTGATTGATGATTTTCTTTTGTGATTTAAGAGGCGCTTTATTTTTTCGAAGGTCCAGCATTATAAATAATTTACAATAAGTATAATACTTTATAAATAACCACCGTACACAAGTTTTATGCTAGTTTTAGCGGGATGTGTTTATTTTTATATCAGCAAGGTGTTTGCTGTTCCGACTTTTATTATTCGGTGCTAAAATAGAATTGCAAATTGCCGACATAAACAGATAGAAGGGAAATATTGCGAAAGCGGGCTGTTTTCGATGCAATCCAGGTCATAAGATTCATCGCCCAGCTGCAAAATGTACGGCCCAAGAAATATACGTGCGCTTAGCTTGGAGCGGCTCAAAGATTAGCAATAATTGAAAACACGTATTTGTTTGTGTCCGAGGTGAAACGCGTAATTGGCGATTCCAGAAATCTCGGTGTGATGGCAAATACTGCAACGAACGAGCATTGTTTTCTTTACATCATTAGGTTGTGAAGGTTTATTACTATTTTTTAAGGAAATTGGTTAATTGTGTTTCATTTTACTGAGTTTAAATTTGTATCAAAATAGAATTTGATTCTCTAATTTAGTCAAAAATGTATTTTTGAATAACAGTTTGGGACAAAGTAAAAAAATTACATTTCTCTCCATTTTGCAGCAATGAGATCATCGTTTATACGATGGTTTCCTACCAGCCGAGAGATGAATGGCCTTATTATTAATTATAGAAATGGAATACTTTGTTTTATGGTTGAAATAACTAGAGTTCGCTACACTGCAAATGCATTAAACTGGCGTGTAATTATTGCCAGAAATAAAGCTCCGTTATGACCAGACGATCTATTGGTATGGCCAGATAATTGTACAGGGTGTTTTTTGAAAAAATTCATCCATTGAATACAATAACCAAACAAATGTCAGTTTATTAGTATATTATTGAGGCATTATAATTAAATCATTATCAAGGTAAAAAATACTTCTGAGAGCAGGCAGACAAAATCCTAATACATCAGACAAAAGGTCAAAATTTATGTTTTTTAAGTATTCTGAGGGCCGTATTCCGTTTAACACCACTATCTACTTCTATTTGTTTAGACGATGTATTAAGATTTTGTCTAACACACTGTAGAACAGAATTTTCCTACTGTTCTCGGTTAACTCTGCTATAAATTTTGCAAGAACCATAAGCTGGATTCTGGCTTCTCTACACGCAAAAAATTTCTTGCCTCAAATCTACAACATTTTATTTTAAGGTATCGCACGTTTATAAAGGATGATTCAGAACTTATCCAAAAAAAAAAAAAAATTCTGGATGTACAGGGGACCCTTACAAATACAATTTTGTAAAGAAAAAATCAAAAAGAACAGTTCCAAAATGATTTAAAAATACACTTCTGCACGGCACTGGAAACTGGTCCACTGTAAAACCTGACCTCACACAATGCGACCGGCATGGTGGTGTGATAAAAACGGACAAAAAATTTCGCAAGGAAAGAAATATGTAAATAGAATTTTATCGCACCTATTTTATATCGGTAAATTCAACTGCTTTTGCCTTTATTAACTAATAAAATTAATTTGTGTTTTTAAATAATAAACTCATTTGACATAAACAATTGTTCAAAATTTTATCCACCATTGTGTAAACACATTTGGGTCCGTTGTACTCAGTTTCTACGAACTAACACAAATGTTGTCTTGCTTCACCATAACACAAATGCTTCACCATAAATTAAAACGATATCCATCAACGACGATTGCAAAATATGATTTCCGTATTCGGAGTGGCTCTCCACGCGCATTGCAAATGACGCTAGAGACTACAGTTGTCCAGCTATGTAGTCGTTGAATGTACTATAACTTCAATATTTTTTTTCTCGGAAATTATAAGGATTTTACAAAAATTTTTTTACGATATTGACTCCATTTCTCATGCCGCATCTATTCCCAAATTTTTTTGGATAAGTTCTGAATCACCCTGTATATACGCAAGAAAATATTTTCTTCCTTCAAAAAAATTATTTATTTATTTAAATACTTTAAATTTCTACCTAGACCAGAAATATAATTTCTTACTTTAAAAATAGTAGTCCACAGTACAACCCCCTCCCCTCTCCCCTGGACAGTTGATTACCACATACTTTATAACTCGCGAGGAGTTTCGTTTTGACAAGTGTACCACACTTTTCCTCTGCGACTTTTTTCGATTCCTCCGCTTTTCCACTCGAAAAAATTCAAAAACATGGCAATTTCCCAGGGTCTTGAAAAGTCAAGACCACATCTTTTTTTTTTAGCTTAAGTTACTGGAAATTTTGTTGCAAATCCTGATTTACATTTGTCCAACATTGAAAATCAATTACCACATAGGTGATTTTTAGTAAAATTAATTGTAAATAATTAATTCAGTCAAAAAGTACTGGAAATCGGAATTTTCACGAGGTATGATAAATCGATTCGAGACGGACAAAAATAACACACAATAGAATAGTGTTTTTATAAGCAAAAATTGTAATGTCCGACTACGCCATTCTGTGACCTGCTACAATTTTCTTTCAAGAAAACATAAGTTTGATTGTAATATGCTCCATTTGTCTTGAATAATTCTTACATTAATACTAAATTTTAAATATACATATATATTTTGAGAAACTAGTTTTGAAATAAATATGTCTGCAGTTTATGATGAACTGTAAGAGATATTGTAGCTAAAGTACGAGATAATAAATTTCAAACCTATAAAAGATTTGAATTAAATTATATGTATTTACAAATAATATAAATTCTAAGGAAAATTATAGATTACAGCAAATATTTCACATAGTTTGACGAAAGTATATACATTTAAATATGGAGAAGAATTTTACTATATTTAAATTCTTATAATATTTCAATTTTCTACTAACCCATTTTAATTAAATAATAATATAAACTGTCAAACAATATCAATGCTGTCATGACCATATAGTGTAGGAAAGTACCGATGGTCTATCACAAGTTACGTGAGAGCGATAAAGTAAGCCGTAGAAATCCATGTGATAGACAAGGATGGCTATAACGAAGGCGTCTAATAGTCAACGCCCATTTCGCCCTTCCACAAATAAGANTGTGTTTATTTTTAAAAATAAAAGCAATTTCGTTTTAAGTGAACGAGTGCACGGTCTAAATACGAGACAAAGAGATCATTACTTTATTCCAAGTTATAAATATAATGCAACAATTAATTCACCTAACTTTTTAAGCAAAAAAGTTTTTAATAAATTACCAGTACATATTAAAAATATAAACAATTTAATCTTGTTTAAAAAACAATTAAAACTTTATCTTCTGGATAGATGCTTTTATAACTTGAGCGAATTTGTATGATCTCTGCCGATTCATTCGTTTATTTTTCGTTTTTTATTCTCCCTTTTTTTTTAACTTAGTTTTAATATCATTGTGACTATTCCTATACAATGTATGTTGTCAAAAGGAAAATAAATTTATTATTATTATTATTATTATTATTATTTAAGTAAAGAACCATATTTGATTTGTGTTAACACACTTCTAACACTGTTAAATGTTTGTTTTCAAAGCCTTATCAGAAATAACGCTGGTATTTTGAAAATTTTATATTTTCCGCAAATCTACACAAAAAATAATAAGTAAAACATATATTTTTAGCCCTCTTTCCGTTTTTTGCAATAAAAAGCTTAACAGTAACCCTAGAAAATGGACCAATTTGAATCACCCGGCACTACAAAGACGTCGACCCATATTCTATTGCCATTTACCTCCAAACAAATAATCTATATTCATAAACAGGAGCGGCAACCGGTGGGAACCGTTACCCGTTTCCTTGCCGCATCGGTTGCAACTTCAGACAACTCCAACAATGACAAAACTTATCCCATGCCTTCGCCATTGAAAATCCCCGCCGAAACAATGCATTTTCCATCGGTCTGCGGCACACCTCGCGGAGGAATCATACGGCGAGAGGTGAATGTCGTTCCGTAAATAACCGCGGGACCCGGCGGGCATCTACCGCGTCGAACTTCGGCGAACACCGCCGTCGCGACGCTCCAACTGGGCTACCGCCGTCAGTACGCACCATGACGGACGACAGACCTCACGTTCCGCGAGCCAAGGGACGCTCGGCGTCCATCTGCGCTGCGAGCCATGCCAGCAGCATGGAGGCCATCCCCCCGTCGGGAGCATCCCCCGACGCGGGGACGCCCCAGACCCGCCGCAGGAGGCCCGCGACCCGGTCGCAGAGTGCCAGGTTGACCAACAAGAGGTCCATCAAGGGCCGCGCTTCCATAGCCACTTCCGCCAACAACGGGCTGAAGAGCCAGAGTAACAGCGAGCCCAAGTTGACCGACCAGGATACCACTCCGGATGTGTCGCCCAACATCAGGAGGAAGGGGTCCCAGAGGAGGGGTACCTCGGTGTATCACAGGAAGTCCACTGCTTTTTTGGACGTGCCGGATACTCGTGGAAGGAGTAACAGTAACACCGAGGAAGAGGATGAGGACTCGTATAGGCTGAGGTCGTTCAGCTTCACTTCCAAAGGTAAGACAAGTGAGATCGTAGTCGTAAGACGAACCGTCTTTTGTTTTGCCTCGCTGGAAACTCTGCACAAATACTTATTACATTTTTCAAATAAAAAAATAACAGTGAAATTGTGGGGCATTAGGTTTTGCGGTATTTTGAAGTTCTTGATAACAACATCCAAATAATTATTTCTTTCTAAGAATTTTAGAGCATGTCTTTTCGCTTTAACTGCTTATATTTACATCATTAAGGCATTACTCTTTCTGCAGCCTGCTTTTCCTTTCAACGCCCTTGGATGTCAGAAGTTTTATCAATTCATATTCCATACAATATTGCTGGTGTGTGTATTTACTACACTTTTCTCTCTCGAGTGCATGTGAAAACTTACCAGCATCCTCTACTAGCCCAGTAAATGAAAAAAATTCGTTAATCGTTAGTTCGGGCAAAAAGAAATAATATTTCCCAAAAAGTATCGGTTTAAAACAACAAGATCATTGTTTAAACAATGATTATAATGTAAAAAATGACCAAAAATGGAGATTTTTAGCTGTATTAAAAAGCACTCTCCAAGTTTTTGCTTTTGTTTATGCTTATAGGTTTTCAAAAAACGCTTCATTTGAAACCTGCTAAATTAAAATCCATTAACAATTTGTTTAAATAATTGCAATAAACCAGCGAAATTTGAATTTGCTATAAATAGAAGAAAAGAACATAAATCGTCTCTAAACTGCAATAAAAGTTGTATTTTGTTACGCTTAAGAAACCCTGAAAATTGGGTAAAGAAATATTTATTTGTTTACGAGTTTTTGCATTTGTTTATTAGAAATAGCATTTTTTCAATTCCAAAAACGCGGTTGTTAGTGTTATAATAAAGGGCCTTATAAGGCTCATTTCTTTCGTCTTGACTTATATTTTCAAGATATGCCTTTAGAAATTGCAATTTCATAGACTAACCTCCTCAAAACGGCGTATAAACAAATAGTGTAATTTGTTTATAATGTTTTTCGTTAATAACTTTGCGAAGAATGAATATTTTTTAAAGCCGATTTGATATTCGTAATCCTGGTAATTTTTCACGAATTTAAAAATTAAAAAATTGTTCTAGGACCATTTTTAGCCGAGAGAGAGTTTTTTTATAACTTGCTTATAAACATTAAGGCTTGAAATTTCGAGAATAAATCAACCCTTAAAATTCATAATAACGGTTAAATATATCGAAAAAAAAATTATTTTATAGTAATTTTTAACCCTTTAAAAACGTCCTCGAATACATTTTTACACCTGGAATGTGGTGGGGGAAATGAGACAGAAACGTTCCAAGACTTCAAATTTTAACTGCCCGAAAATTCTGCGATATCTCCGGTAAGTGCGGGCCAATTTTAACGTTTTTTTAATCTGGGGTATCGCATGAAAATAATAACAACAGCACGGTATATTTTGCAATAATTAATTATTAATTTGTGAGAAACTATTAATTTTGTAAAAAAAAGTTTTTTCGCATTTTTTCGAGAAATAATTTTTCACAGTGGTACCAATAAACAATTTTCTTAAAAAACAATATTTTTATGTAAAAAATTTCAGGAAATGATATATTTTTTATGCAATAAAGTTATAAATATATA